GGCGTAGCTCTGTTGAATCTTTGTTTCGTGCTCACCTCACCGACCAATGGATTCATTTGGTTGAGGCAACTTGCCCTGGCGGCGCCGTCTTCCTGCGTCTTGAGAGCAGCATGGTGTGTGTATGTGTGTTTGTGTTTCTTGGAATTGCGTGTTCTTGCTGCAGCTCATTCGAATTCACCAGCACATATGTGCCCTGGTCAGATAGTGCGCACGCACATTTCAGCTCGGCGTGTTACCAAGACAACCTCAGAATTCTTCACGCTTCGCGTATCCCCACCAGCCCATCTCAAAACAGCAACTCTTGCGAAGCATGCCGACAGTCGTGTTTTTCAGGCGTGTTTCCGCCTGCCCCCGCATATCTCCCCTGTTCCTCCTTCCTCCCGCCTCCTTGTACATCCTCCTTGTGGTGGGAGCGGGAGAAGGACGAGGCGGAGGAGGAGGGAGAGAAAGCGCTCCTCGTGGTTTGAGTCGTTTGGGGTTTCTCGTCCTGGTGTGAGTCGTTCGGGCCCTTCTTCCTGGTGTGAGTCGTTCGGGCTCTTCGTGGTGTGAGTCGTTCGGGCTCTTCGTCCTGGTGTGAGTCGTTCGGGCTTCTCGTGGTGTGAGTTGTTCGGGCCCCTCGTCCTGGTGTGAGTCGTTCGGGCCCCTCCTCCTGGTGTGACTCGTTCGGGCTCCTCGTGGTGTGAGTCGTTCGGGGCCCTCGTCGTGGTGTGAGTCGTTCGGGCCCCTCGTGGTGTGAGTCGTTCGGGCGCCTCGTCCTGGTGTGAGTCGTTCGGGCCCCTCCTTCTGGTGTGAGTCGTTCGGGCTCTTCGTGGTGTGAGTCGTTCGGGCCCCTCGTCCTGGTGTGAGTCGTTCGGGCTCCTCGTGGCGTGAGGCGTTCGGGCACCGCGTCCCCTTGTGGGGCGTCGTGGGGGCCTCTTGGCGGCCCCAGGGGCTTCTAGGAGCGTCTTGGGTACCTTGGGGGAGCCTCTTCGGGCCTCTTGGGAGCCTCTTGGAGGCCGTTTGGGGCGTCTTGGGAACCCCTCCCCGAAGGGGAAGAAGGGGGGTTGAGAACAGAGAGAGCTCGCTAAACCACTCACGCCCAAAGGGCGGGGGAGGGGGTAGGGGGAGGGGTAAACCCCTCCCCGAAGGGGAAGAAGGGGGTTGAGAACAGAGCGGGCTCTCTAAACCACTCACGCGTTCTTGCTGCAGCTCATTCGAATTCACCAGCACATCTGTGCCCTGGTCAGATAGTGCGCACGCACATTTCAGCTCGGCGTGTTACCAAGACGACCTCAGAATTCATGGCAGCCCGAAGTGTGAGCAAGAGGAATGGCATTTTTTCCCACGTCGCGGTAAAACACGATCCAGGCACATTAGGTTGTTAATTTTGCAGAGGTTTCTGGGGTATTCTGGGCTTGTTGAAAGCCTGTTTGGGATTTGAGGGCCGTCCGAATGGTCAGCAGACAGTCCATGTGTTTGTGAGTCTAGAGCTGCCTTGGCCGCATTGGGCTGGCATTGGCCCATCGTGGGGCTGCTTCGCGGCGCTCTCGTCCTTTGTCCGTACCGTCTTGAGGGTGCATTGCGTTGCAATTTGGGTGGCACTGGAGCCATCGAGGGCTCTCTAGGAAGCATCTAGGGTCTGCTCGAAGGCCAGCTGGCCCTCCTCTGGCCGCTTTGACGGCACCGAGGGCCCGCCTGGAGCCGCACTGGGCGGAGAGGCTCCTGGCTCCCCGCCTTTGATGGTGCCCGCCGGGTGGCCAGCGGGTCGTGCCAAAGGCCAGCGCGCACCGCGCACATCTCGAGGCCCGCTCTTTGTCGCGGGGGGGGGGAGGGCCAGACTCCAGCAATCGCCGATTTCCGACCGAATATGGAGCACGTGGGAAGTTGAGGGGAAGACGAACCTCCCGAAGGACTCTCTGGATTGTACCTGTTTGCTTTGTCGTGTTATGTTTGGCTATCTCCCCTTTTTGTTGACCCCTCCTATTCTTCGGTGAAAAAAGTTCCTCAGCGATCGCCAGACTGTCCATAACTGCGGAGATTCTAACAGAAAGTGAGTGAAAATATGGTGGATCTTGGGATTGGTGTCCCTCTGTTTTTGTGTGTCCCTGGGCCCCTTCATCATTACTGGGGGCGGGCCTGGGGGCCTTGCAGGAAGCCATTTTGGGACTCTTAAGTCGGGCCTGTCCCTCTACAGGAAGGATATTCAAACATAGTAAAATTTGTCTGGGGACGATGTATTTAAACTGTTGTTTTAGCATTTGGGGAGTATTTGTTGAGTATGTTTTACTTTGTCGCCCAAACTCCGCCTGTAGGGGGACACGCCCGACCTAATATTGGCCCTTCGGTGGTGGAAGCAAAAAAGAGTTCGACAGAGCACCGTTCTGGCTGCTCCTGGGCGCGCGAACCTGTCAGACGCATTTGTAGGGGAACGAATTATGACATAAACATAAAAACTCGGAGGTCCGCGTGGATTCCCCGGATCCGCGCTGGGGCCCCCCGGCGGCGCCTCCCCCCTGAAGAGTTTGACTCCATCGATGTTCCATGTGTGGATCTTTCACCCCAAAGCACCCATTTCCGTCGCCTGCATTCCTGGCAGCCTCGACGATCTCGGGCTTTTGCTCCCTTCCGCCTCCACAGTGCAGCCCTTCGGGATCCCGACGGCCTCGTCGCTCTGGCGCTCCTTCCCTTCGCCGCCCGCTCGCTCCGCCCCCCTCCGCGCTCGCCTCCGCTCGCCTCCTCCAACGCTGCCGAGCCGTGCCTCCCCCCCGCCCCGCCCCCGCAGCGTGCTCTCCGGCAACATCGGCAGCGAGAGCAAGATGAAGTTCGGCTGCATGGGCGATCCGGTCAACCTGGCCAGCCGCCTCGAGAGTGCGCCCTAGGGAGGGGGGGGGGCAGCTTCGACAAGGGCGCCCTCGAGGGCGCGAAGTTATGCGCGCTTCGGGGTTCGGCTCCGATTCCTCATCCTCCCCTTCTCCCTTGGGAGGCGGCGCGAGCTCGAAGTTATTCGCACGTCGCGCTTCGCGCAGCGCGCAGCGCGAAGTTGGGAGCCGTTGCTTCGGCGCGGCCCGGGCGCGCGCGACGTCTGCGGCAGGCGAGGGCGGGGGAGGCGCGGGGGGGGGGGGCGACGGGCTGCGAGGAGGCGGGGAGGCAGGAGCGGGAGGCGGCGTGGCCCCTCGTCGGCGGCAGTCGGTGCGAGGCCAAGGGCGCCCTCGAGGGCGCGAAGTTGTTCGCGCTTCGCGCCTCGCGGTTCGGCTCCGATTCCTCCTCATCCTCCCCTTCTCCCCTGGAAGGCGGCGCGAGAGCGCGAAGTAATTCGCGCAGCGCGAAGCGCGAAGTTGGGAGCCCTTACCTCGTCGGCGGCAGTGGGTGCGAGGCGAGCGAGGAGGGCGGGAGGGAGAGGGAGGGAGGGAGTCGGGCGGGAGGAAGAGCGGTTCTGTGCCATGGCTGTTCGCCAGCCTTTGCCCCTCGCTGTCACCTGCACCAGAGGTCGTCGTGGTGGTCGTCGTCTTCAATGCTCGGCCTCTCACGCCCAGACCTTGCCAGCACCGCTGCTCGCTCCTCTCTTCCGGCCTGCGCAAGGTTTGTGCAAGGTGTACGGCGTGTGGATCCTCTGCTCTGAGGCTCGCGCTCCTTTCGCCCAAAATCCGCCTGTGGGGGGACAGGCCCGACCTAATTGTAGTTCCAGAGACGGATTGTCAGTTGATCTATTGGAGCTGCTGTTCCTGCGAACAGAGTCATGGGTATTCAAGACGCTTCGCGTTCACCTCCCGCCCATTCCAGTTCTCGCCGGAAGAGACGCAGACGGCACCATGACCGAGTGGCAATATTCCGAGAATAGTGAAAGACTCTCCCACGTTCGTGTTTTGTATTTTTCCCTGCGCTTGATTTCTCCCCCATCCCATCGCAGACTTGGCTCAGGTGTGCTGTGTGGCTGATCGTCGTTGAATTCGTCGATTAGTCGTCGCCCCGTCAAAACTACCATTAAGTCGGGCCTGTCCCTCTACAGGGGGAAATTCAAAAATAGTAAAAAAAAAAAAAAAAAATAGTCTGGGGACGATGTTTCAATTAGTGTTGTTAATTCTCTCCTCCTCCTCCTCCTCCTCCTCCTCCTCCTCCTCCTCCTCTTCCTCCGCCTCTTCCTCCTCCCTGGTGGCGTCTTGGAGGTATCTTCGAACGGTTTGGTGGGCTCTTGGGCCTTGCGGGCGGGCGGGCGGCGCTCCGCCCGCCCGCGCGCAGGGCCCAAGAGGAGAGTCCAAGACGTCTCTTGGAGCCATTTAGGAGGAGATCGATCAACGAAGGAGGGTCCCTCAACTTGGCTCGCCCCCCAGGAGCTCCAAAAATCGCCATCGGGGCGCTCTGGGGGGGCATCTTGGAGCAAATCTATCAAAGAAGAGCAGAGTTTTAATTGGCGTTGCCCCTCCAGACTGTCTAAAATGGCTTCCTGGACCCCTCCCCCTCTTGGATCGCTCTTGGAGCGCTCTTGGACGCTGTTGAGGCAGTCTTGCGGCTCTCTTGGGCCCCTGTTGGGACCCAGTTGGGACATCTTGGCGCCATCTTGAGGCCTCGGATGGGCGTCGGAAGCGAAAAAGTGAGAACACCAAAAACATTGATGTTCCCTAGGGTTTTGAAGCATTTCGGCCTTTTGAGGGCACTCTAATGATGCTCTTGTGGGCACTTAGAACCATCTTGGAGCGGTCTTGGAACGTGTTGGAGCGTCTTCTGAACCATCTCCAGGCATCTTGCGCTATCTTGAGCCAGCTTGGAGGCGATCTTGGGCTCTCTGAGGCCCTCTTGGAGCCGTCCTGGGCCATCTTGGACGCTCTGACCGCTCCCCGCCCCTCCTGTCCAGGTCAGTGGGGAGGGGGTAGGGGGAGGGGTATGGAGGTTTTAGAACGGGTTGAGCAGAGGGGCCATACGTGTGATGTTGGGCAAATAGAATATGCTGCCTGTCACTGGTGTGCACTCGCCAACACCCTGCTGCCTATCTCCGCTCAAGTTGTTTTTGGTCTGAAGCAGGCCTGATGGGCCCCCCGGCGGCCCTCATCAGTCACCTCCAGACCGCTGGGATACGTGCTCTGGAACTGCTGGCGCTGCGGCAGTCGATCATCTCGGGGGTGCCGCCGTGCCCGGCAGTGTCGCTGGCGTGCCCGCTGGCGAACCTGACCTGCCCGCCGCAGGTCTGCCCGGCGCTGACGTGCGCGCCGCCGCCCTGCCCTCCTCCAGTGTGCCCGGCGCCGCTGGTCAACCTCTCCTGCCCGTCTGCAGGGGGAATCGTGGGAGCCGGCGAGTTCGACTCACCCTCGGCGTGCTGGGGGACTCTCGCTGGGATCGCGGCTGGGCTGGGGCTCGGCCGCGCCGCCCCGCGCCGCGGGCGTGCTGCTGACGCCGAGAGAGATGATGATCGCGCACCGTCCCCTGCCCCCGCTCGCCGCGGAGGGGGAGTGGTGCGCTGACTTGGCGGTCGGCACGCTGGTCCGGGTCTCCTACGCCGGGGAGACCATGGACCACACGAGGGTCGTGCTGTGGCCCAGCCGCCGCATGGACCAGAGGCGACGAGTCCGAGGGCGACACGCCTACTGGGTGCTCTCCGCGGACGGCGACGTCTGGGAGGAGGACCTGAGCGGGAGGAATGCAGCGACTGGGCCGTCGGGCGGGTCGCTGCTGGACCAGGCGACGGGGAACCCGCCCGACGGCCGCCGCCTCTATCGGTTCCGTGCGCGGCCCAGCCTGGACGAGGTTGTGGAGCTGGCGGCGGAGTGTCGGGCCACTATGCTCAGGCGTGGGCAGGCCGAGGCGGAGGGGCCGACGAGAGTGGTGCTGGCCGACGGGGCGGTGCGCCCCGGCCACGACTACTTCCCGTGGCTGGTGGCCCCGCGCCCGTGGGTGCTGACGGAGCCGCTCCCTGGCATGCCCATCGGGACCGTGGTGGATCCGCTCCCGGTGGGGGCGCTGCGCGACGGGAGCCGGGCCCTCGGCCTGCTCCCGAGCTGCGGCCGCTGGGCGAGGCTCGAGCAGGTGGACGAGGGCCAGATCGTCGAGTGGGCTGCCAAGAGGACGAAGGAGCTGCTGCTCGACCTCGGCGCGGAGCCCGACGCCATGGGCGCCGCCGAGCCGGTCGGCGGGACTGAGACCCCTCCGCTGCGCGAGGGTCGCTCGTCTGGAGGCGACCGCCTAGGCGAGAAGCTGGGGCTGACCGCGGAGGAGCCCGCCGAGTCGGCCGCAGGGAAGGACGACGCCAGCGGCGACGCGCGCACGCTGTGGGTCGACTGGGACGAGCAGGGCGAACGCAGGAAGGAGTTCAAGCGGGCGGTGGCTGAGAGCTCGGATGTGAAGTGGGACCATCACAGGCTGCCCGCCGACCGCACTTGCCTCCACACGTGCAAGATGATGGTGAACTTGAGTGGGTCCCCGCGCGCGTGGCTGGAGCGCTTTCTCAGGGAAAAGGGGATAGCTTCTACGGATCGAGTTGCGCACGAACTCCGAGTGTTGTGCGACATCCTGGAGGAAGCAGGCGAGTTTGACCAGATCAATCTCGGAGGACTGGCCTGCTTGGAAGTGGCCGCCCTCCGGCTGAACCTGCTGGTGGACGCGCACAAGAGCGGGCCGGCCTCGTACTCGAACGCGAAGTACCTCTCGCCGCTGACCGACGTGGACCAGTTGATGGCTCCTGGCTTGCGGTCTCACGTGTCGAGGCGCGCCAAGGAGGAGTACGAGCTGATGCAGGGCGACAGGAAGGCCGAGGCGGTTGCTGCTGGGGCGGCTGGCGCGCGGGTTCCACCGCGCGAGGGGGCCGATGACTCGGCCAAGGGTGGCAAGGGCGGCGGCGGGGGCGGCCGGGGTAACAAGACCCGGGCGCGAGCCCTCGCGCCGCCCGTGCAGGCATGACGGACCAGTCTCAGCCGGCGGAGTGGGCCCCTGCCGGCTGGGCTAACACATCGGCCCGGCGAGCGCCGCTGGCCCTGGCGAGCGGGGATAGGGACCTCTTCCCCCTCCCTCGCCTGGCCAGGCCGCCCGCCAGCAGGGGCGGCAGCCGCGCCCGGATTGCTGGCGCTCGGCGGCGGCGCGAGCACGAATTGGTGAACGGCGCGATCGACTCTCTCAACTGGCTTGCTGGATGGGAGCCTGACGACGTGGGCCCGCCGCGCTCCCTGGACGCCATGGGGGGCAAGCATGCTGGGATCGTGCAGTGGGTGGCCAGCGAAGCTCTTCGGCGCCAAGCCGCAGCTCCCAGCCCCTGTCCGTCCCAAGAGGCATCGCTCAGTGCGTTGCTCAAGGGGTGCTCGATCTACGACACGTCGGGCTCCCCGAGGAACCTGGCCTCCTTCGTCCGCGAGCGCGTGTCCTTGCCCCCTTCGGTTGTCGGCTGCCTCCAGGTGGACGATATCGTGGGCGAGGCCGGCCGCACCTACCTGAAGGAGAATCAAAAGCGTATGAGGCGGCCGATCGAGGAGATCGATTTTGACAGCTTGCCGACTCCCTATTTTGACCCGCTGCTGAAGCGGAACAAGAAGATGTACCACAACTTTTTGAAGGATCTCTCGTCCCGCGGGCTCTTGCTCGCCACCTTGTCTCCCGCAGAGCAGGCTGGCCTGTTCTTCGTGAAGAAGGCCGACAGCGACAAGATGCGCATGATCGTGGATGCGCGCCGGGCGAACGCTTGGTTCGGCGTGCCCCCCAGCGTCCAGCTCCTGTCGTGCGAGGGGTTCGGCAGGGTGGAGGTGAAGCTCCCAGAGGGCGTCGCCTTCGGCTCGGCGCGGGGAGAGGAGCTGCTGAACGGCTTCAAGCTCTTCTTGGGCATGACGGACGTCAAGGACTGCTTCTACAGGATGCGCATCCCGGTGAGCCTGGCGAAGTTCTTCTCGCTGCCCGCCGCCCCGGCTCACGTCCTGGGCCTGGAGGGGCACGAGCTGGAGGGGACGAGGCTGGGCTGCGACACCCTCGTCTTCCCCTGCATCGGGGCTCTCCCCATGGGATTCTCTTGGTCCCTTTTCCTCGCCCAAGACGCGAACGAGGAGAGGGTCGTCCGGTCTGATCCGTGGCCAGGGGGAGACACGGCAGTCTCGGAGCGGGTCCTGATGAGTGATCGCGGACCGCCGCTCGTCGTGGAGGTTGAGCCCGGGCTGCACGGGGGTGCCTACGTGTACGTCGACAACATGGGGGTGCTCGCCCCCTCGGAGGGCCTCGCCAAGAGCGCCCTCGAGAGCTGGACTGGTCTCTTCGAGGGGGTCGGCCTTGACTTGCACAAGAGCTCGGTGGGCTCGGGCGCGTGCGAGGCGCTCGGGACCAAGCTTGACCTCGAGCTGATGAGGTCGGGCGTGAGCGACGGACGGTTCTGGAAGGTGTACCTGGGACTGGGGGGCCTGCTAGCCCGCGGCCGAGCGACAGGGCGCGCCTTGGAGGTGGTGCTGGGCCACTGCACCTTCTGCGGGCTGGCCCTCCGAGGGTCTCTGAGTTGCTGGCACGCCTCGTACCGCTTCATCCAGCGGCACTACCTGGAGCCCGCCCGGCTGTGGGCAGAAGTCGTGAAGGAGATCAAGATGTTCCGCGGGCTGCTCACCCTGATGGTTCAGGACTGGTGGCGGCCATGGAACTGCTGCGTGCTCCAGACCGACGCGAGCGAGAGCGGCTGGGGCATGGCGCAGTCGTTCTGGCCGCAGCACGTGGTGGAGCAGGTTGGCCGGCTGCCTGAGCGAGCCCGTTTTCGTTCGGCGCTGGGCAGACCGGCGCGAGAGAGCGCGCTCGCTGCCGCCAACCTTGCTTGGGACAGCTCGGGCGCCCTGTGCAGTTTTGAGGACAGGAAGAATCCTGACTCTCTTGCGTCTGACCCCCTGTCCTCGTGGGAGCTCGACCCCGGGTTCGCTGAAGTGCCCTGGCAGTGGCTCCGAAAGGGGGCCTGGGAGACCGTCCGGTCCGGGGTCTGGCGTTTTGCTGAGGACATCCTGATCCTTGAAGCCAGGGCCCTCGTAAAATCGATCCAGCGGCTGGCAAAGACCGCGCACGGGGTCTGTGTGCGACAGCTCTTTCTGTCCGACAATATGTCTGTGGTGCTATCCTTTTCCAGGGCTCGTTCGTCCCGCTTCAGCTTGCTGGTTCAGATCCGTCGATTCTACGCCTATGCGATTGCGTTGGGGATTACGCCCGCTATTCGATGGACCCCCTCGGAGTTTAATGAAAGCGATGAAGGCAGCAGGGTTTTTTCTGAGAGTGACAGTAATATTCTCACATCCCTCTTGGATGAGAAGTTCCAGGCCGATCTGAATTTGCTCACCCGTCCTCCAAGAGCCGTCCCTGTGAAAGACAATACGCGGGATCCTCTCCGTAGCCGTTTTGGCCCACACCATTCTTTCTTGGCTGAGATTCCCGAGGCGCCCGACTTGCCAGAGACGGCGGGCCATGGCCCCCGAGAGGGCTCGGGTGCTGGCCGAGCCGGTGCCGCAGGCGCGGACGCCCCCCCAGCGGGCAGGCGCTCGGCGGCCGGCCGCACGGACTCGTGCGCTGGCAGGCGCGGCAGCGCAGGCGGGCTCGCGCTCGGACCCGAGCGGTGCGAGGGCGATCGCCAGCCCCGGGGCGCTGGGCCGGACGCGGGTGCTGGTGCCGGCCCCCCTCTTGCCTTCAAGGAAGAGGGCCAGCCAGGCTGGACGGCATCTCTCGGCCCTCGACGAGAGGGACGCGAACGGGCTGGACCTCGCTGGAGACGCCGGGGAGGACGCCGAGGGCGACAGCAGCTCCAGCGGCTCCGACTCGGTGGTGGAGCAGCTGGGGCGGACTCGGGCCCGAATGCGGCAGCTGCGCGCGCGGAGGGCGCACCGGCGGGCGAAGCTGTACGCCGATGCTATCCTGGCGGCGCAGGGCGAGGGCGTGAGCCTCCTGGAGACCTTGGCGGTGACCCAGGCGACGCAGGTGAGGTACCAGCGATATCTCGATCGTTTCTACTCTCGTGCCGGCCTGAGCCGGAGGGAGATCCTGGCGAAGCCGGACACGGAGATCGACGAGCTCATGTGCAATTACATGACCGAGAAATACTTGCAGGGCGAGCAGAGCAACTACGGAGACCAGACGGTCGCGGCCTGGGTCAGCGCGAACCCGGACTTCGGGCGCGTGGGAGGTCGCAAGCTGCCGCGGACCTGGCGGGCGCTGAAGGCCTGGCGCAGGCTGACTCCGGGCAGGCGGCGGAAGGCCCTTGCCCTTCCGGTCTGGTGCGGGCTGGCCTGGAGGCTGGCGCAGCGAGGACACCTACGCCTGGGCATCTTCTTGATGATAGGCGTATCGATCTATGGTCGGCCCTCGACTTTGCTGGCCGCCCGGCGGTGCGACCTCGTGCCTCCGTCCCCTGGTGTCAGCCGGCACTGGGCTCTGTTGACCCACCCGCTGGAGCGGAAGAGGCCGAGCAAGCGTGGGCACTTCGACGAGGGCTGCCCCCTGGACTCGCCGTACCTCCAGGGCTTAGACGAGGTGTTCGGGCGGCTGGCCTCGACGACGTCGAAGGAGCCGCTGTGGAACTTCAGCTACCCCGAGGCAGCGACGCTGCTCAAGGAGGCGGCAGAGGACCTCGGGGTGGCCCCAGTGACATTGTACCAGATGAGACACTCGGGCGCCAGCATCGACCTGGCGAAGGGCTGGCGCAGTCTGACCTCGGCTCAGCGACGCGGGGAGTGGACGCAGGCGAAGTCAATGCACCGCTACGAGCACAGCAGCAGGCTCGGCAGCGACTATGCAAAGCTCGACCCCCGGCTGCGCGCGACGTGCGAGGAGGCGGAGAGGCAGCTGGCGCTCATCCTGACGGACCGTCCCCACAACGTGCAGCTGTGGCGCAAGTGAGCCAGCTACACCTGGGCTACCGAGGAGGCCGCTCCCGTGGCCGCCTTCGCCGCTCGCGCCTCGGCAAGGGCCAGTACCTCGGCGATCTTTTCGCAGGCTGCCGAGCTGTGTCTCGGGCGGCCGAGGCCGAGGGCTTCCGTGCGAGAAGTTGGGACGTCATCTATGATGCAGAGTGGCAGGATTTGTTGTCGCCGGCCGTGCTGCGGGCGATCAAATCTGACGCTCGAGCTGGCCGGCTGGTGGCCGCGGCAATGGCCCCTCCATGCCAGACTTTTTCCCTCGCGCACGACAGGTCGAGGCCGGTGCGCAGCCGCGAGAAGCCATGGGGCTTCCCTGCCTCCGAGCTGACGCCTGCCGATGCCGAAGCAGTGGAATTAGGCAACCGCCTCGCTCGGGTTGCGCTTTCCCTCTTCAGATTCTTTTTGAAGCTGGGGGTTCCCGTAATCCTCGAACATCCCTTGACGAGCCGGCTGTGGCATACTGCTGAGGTGTGCGACTTATCGCACCATAGACATGTCTATCTGGCTGAACTGGACCAGTGTCAGTATGGAGCAAGATGGAAGAAGCCCACACGGCTCCTCTGTGCACACGTGAATCACGAAGATATAATTAAGCTCACCCGTCGATGCCGACCAAAAGGCTGTATATGTTCTAAGACTGGGAAACCCCATTGGCAACTCAGCGGCGGGGGGCCAGGCGGCCTCCGCCGTACCCGCATTGCTTCTGAGTACCCTCCTGGTCTGGCACGAGCAATGGTCTCTACCCTTTTAGCTAGTACTGTTGAAAAGCGAGCTTGTCACTCCCACCCTTTCTCTCCCCACCCTAGCGAACATCCTACCTGGATAGCTTCGGGATGATTTGGGAGATTGAGTTTTAAGGCATGCCTTTAAGCTCAAAGCCTCTGGCCATGACGAGTCCAGAGTTTCGCTAGATTCAGTCTCCGCAAGAAAAATGGGACCGTTGCTCTGGAGGTTTTAGAACGGGTTGAGCAGAGGGGCCATACGTGTGATGTTGGGCAAATAGAATATGCTGCCTGTCACTGGTGTGCACTCGCCAACACCCTGCTGCCTATCTCCGCTCAAGTTGTTTTTGGTCTCCCGCCCCCCCAACCCTCGGGGAGATTGAGTTTTAAGGCATGCCTTTAAGCTCAAAGCCTCTGGCCATGACGAGTCCAGAGTTTCGCTAGATTCAGTCTCCGCAAGAAAAATGGGACCGTTGCTCAACCCCTCCCCGAAGGGGAAGAGGGAGGGGTGGAAGAGGAAACGCCCTAAACCACCGACGCCCAGAGGGCTGGTGGGATTCTTGGGGGTGCTTCTGGACTAACCTTACTTTTCCGCCCAAAATCCGCTCGTAGGAGGACACGCCCGACCTACCACTATCAGCGGATCTCGGGTACGGACGCTGGCTCTCCGGAGCCCGTCTTCCTCGTCCACAGCAGGAGGCCAGAGACAGCCCGCACAGTGCCCGAGACCAGCCAACGACGGCCCCCACCACGGCCCAAAGTTTGGGCCCACGAGAGCCCGGCGAAGGGCCCCACAGGGGGCCAAGAAGGGCACCAGGCGGCCCAGGGGAGCTGGACGGCCCACAGTGGGGGCCCATGCCAAGAAGCACCCTGCTTGCCTCCAGGGTGCCTCTTGGGTGCCTCTTGGGTTTCGACGGTTTTGCTGTGGAAGGCGCGACGCTCCCACACCAAGAATCAATGGACGTCCTGTGGTCTCAGGGTTGGGTTTCTTGTGGAAGGTCTCTTGTGGACTGGCCTCCACTGAACGTGAGAGCACTTCGCGTTGGGCCGCAACCCGGTCCGAATGCCATCAAACACTTGGCCAGTTCGGGGTCAGGCGTGGCCTCACTTTGAGGTCTAAGTTGGGCCTGGCATTGTCCAAGCTTGGCCCCGGAGCGCGCCCAAAAACGCAGGCGCAATCTGTTCGCAAGTCTCATTTTGCAAAACCCTCCAGACGGGCCTGGAAAGGTGTACTGACGCAGCCGGGCGGCGGATTGGCAGAAGCTTTGTAAGGAGACGGCGCATTTACGGCGCACTTACGTCTCCAACGCCCCTCAGCCCAGTGGTCGGGCGGATTCAGGTCGCTTGCGCAATTCCGCCGACCTCTGGCCGAGTGTAGACATCCAGGGCGTTCGGCTGGCTATGATGGAGTTAGAACGGCCGGGTATTTTTCCACGCCCGCGAAGGTTGATTTCCAGGGTCTGGAGGGCGTTAGGGGGCGTCCTGTCAGCTTTTTGGGAGGCCTCTTCTGGGCCTTGAAGGGCGTTAGGGGGGCCTCTCGGAGGCCTCATGGGGTGATGGTCCTGTTTTCCACCACCACCACCATAAGTTGGAGGGGGAGGGGGTCCTCCTCTTCCTCCTCCTCCTCCACCTCCTTCTCCTCCTCGTCCGCCTCCTCCTCGTCCTGCACCTCCTTCCCCCCTCCAACTCATGGTGGTGGTGGTGTAAAACACGCCCTTCATGGGGGCCTCTTGTGGGCGCCTCGGGGGTCTCTGGGTGGCTTCTGGGGCAACGGGCGGGGGAGAGGCTCGAGACGTCAGCGCGTCCTGCCCCTGTTGGGCCTCTCTTGCGGCCCTCGCGATCCCGTCTTAAGAAGGCGCCTCCTGGGCTGCCTTAGGGCCCTCCTGGGTCCGTCTTCGTGCCCTCTGGGGGGAGCCTCTTGGGCCGTCTTGGGACGATATCTTGGGCCCCTTGCGCTGCCTTGGACGCTGTCAAGACGAGGGAGGCAGCGTCTCGAACATGGACAGTTCCTCGGGGGGGAGATCTTCGCGTCCTGTGGCCCTCTCGGTGGTCCTCTTGGAGCACTCTTGGGCCATCCTGCGGCCGTCATTGGCTGTCTTGAAGCCATCCAGGATCGTCGCGGGGTTACCCTGGGCCGTCTCGACGCTCTCACGGACTGCCTCGGCGCTCTGTTTGGGCCCTCTCGGGCTGTTTTAGGGCCCTCTGGAGGCTCGGGAAGGCCCCCCAGGGTGCGTTGGCGAGCTCGTGACCCCCCCCCCAGAAACGGATGTTGGACCCCTGGAGGTGGAAAGGGGTAGGGGGACAGCCAATTGTCTCACACGCTGTTTCTCCCCAGCAAGCGGCGGTCGGCGGATATTGTGTTTTTTGGGACTTGCTTGTGCACACTAGGATGTTGATTGTAGACGTGTCGTGTGGCTATGCAAACCCATCAGTATCACAGTGAGCGCTGCCAGTGAACGTTTAATCATCACGCTGTCTGTATGACTACGTGCTTCATGCCACCTGAATTCTTCGCTTCTCATGATTGCAGTCGTGATTGTAGTCGTAATCGCAATCGTGTTTATAGTCGTAATCGTAGTCGCAGTCGTGGTCGTAGTCGTAATCGTTGTCGTCGTCGCGGCGGATATTATTTTCTGTCTATTGCTGGGTGGGCTGGATAATGTAGGGGGTTCTGCCCCCGAAGGAATGATGCTCCCTGGGCTACCCCGCACGACAGAGGAATTCTGAGCACGTTTGTAAGAGGGTTGCAAAATAGATCGGCACGTGTTTCGCACAAGGCGTTGCTCACAATCTCCTCCTTCAGCTCGTTGTCGTCGTTGTTGTGCGGCGGGTGCCGCGCAAACAAACTACTACTTTCCATGATTGGTGGGGCACCAGTCCGTCAAGATGGTCGCCGACCATATAATTAGTTTCCTCCGTTTAGGTTATTCAGCGAGTGTCACGGAGACATTTATTTCGCATTTACTTCGCATCTAGGTGCCATTGAGACGACTCTCGCGTCCAATACTTGTCGTCTTGACATTCGACAGTGGTTGGCAAACACATGTGTGGCCCATTGTCAGAGTGTCGCATGCATCCACCACGCTCCTCTATGTCTCAGACCGTCCTGTTCGCGCTTGCGCGATGGCCATTCACCATTCAGCTCGCCATAGGGCGAACTGCTGTCTGGCGACGAGATACTGGCGCCCTGGAGCCTGAGCCAGTTTTTCAGAATCACAGGGTTACAAATGATCCATGGAAGCGTCTTGTGTGATCTGACCTTGCCGAGCAGAGCGACGTTCCGCCGTGCATGAAACCGCCAGCTTCACAATTAGAGAAAATGGGGTTCCACCGTGCTAGAACTGCCCAACAAGGATGGGGATGAGCAGGAGAAAAAGGACGGCAACGATGGCGACGAACATGGACGCTACAGCTCCGTTGCGAAAGTCCGCTCAACGCAAAACAACGACGACGCACCGCTGCCAGATGCCTCTCTAGGTTTCTTGCTTTGTCCTGCACTTGTTGCCTTCCTACGTTCTCCTCGCGGTTGCTGTTGCTGCATGCTGTCCTGTCTCGACAGTGCGTTCCTTTTGGCGCTCTGGCCGCACGACTCGAGTCCTGGCAGCGCAAAGCTGCGGGGACGACGGGAAAGACTACGATGCACGCTTCGGGCTCTCGTGGCGCTGGCTCCTCCTCCTCCTCCTCCTCCTCCTCCTCCTCCTACATACATACAGGGCAGATCAAGAGGCACCAATCACAGATCGGAGCTCTTGCCCACACAAGTGGGATAGGAAAATAATATGAAGGCCACCCTCGGGAGCACCCGAGAACCCTTGGGCAGGGTGCTCAACCAGAGTGGCTGACTAAATGATACAAAGATTCCCAGGTGCATTCGGCCCATACAGAAGCTCCCTTGGCGACTGTTCGACCACTCTCCAAGGTTTCGAAAAGCGGCATCCCTTGGGATAGGGCAGAATTCCATTCCTGAGCATGCGAAGCTGAGCACCCTCCTCCTCCTCCTCCTCCTCCTCCTCCTCCTCCTCCTCCTCCTCCTCCTCCTCCTCCTCCTCCTCCTCCTCCCCCTGACGTTGCCGGGGGCAACGTCAGGGGGCGCGGGGCTCCGGGGGGAACGCCTCGCCCCCCCCGAGTCGCCGAAAAGCATCGCCGCTAGGGGGGCCCGACGACCCCTGCCCCGCCCCAGGCCGCGTGCGGCTCCGCCGTCGAGGGCCCGCCGCCGACCTCCATCCGGCGGCGTGTCGCCGAGTCCGGACCAAGGCCCCCCCCCCAGGGGCCCTCTTGAGGGTCCTCTTGGAGCCCGCTGGAGGAGGAGGAGGAGGAGGAGAGCAGGAGGGAGGAGAGGAGGAGGAGGAGCAGGAGGAGCAGGAGGAGGAGGAGGAGGAGGGGGGGCCGTCTTGGGTCCTCTGCGGGCCGTGCTGGGGTCATCCTCTGTTCCCCCCCCCGTTCGGTTCCGCCATTGGGGGGCCCGTCGCCGACCTTTCGGCGATGTGCCGCCGATTCCCGATCGAGGCCCCCCGCCTCCGAGCCATCCCCCCCTCGTCGAGGCCCCCCTCCTCCGGGCCCTCCTCCGGTTCCCGATCGAGGCCCGGCTCGTCTCCGCCGACGCCCCATCCGCGCCCCTCGTGGGGCCCGGGGGCGCCCTCCTCCCTCGGAGTGAGACAGCGCTGGCTCCTCCTCCTCCTCCTCCTCCTCCTCCTCCTCCTCCTCCTCCTCCTCCTCCTCCTCCTCCCCTCCTCCTCCTCCTCCTCCTCCTCCTCCTCCGCCTCCTCCTCCTCCTCCTGTCCTCCTCCTCCTCCTCCTCCTCCTCCCCCTCCTCCTCCTCCTCCTCCTCCTCCTCCTCCTCCCTCCTCCTCCCCCTTGTTCCCCCGGGCACCGCTCGGACGTCTGCAGCGTGCCTCGGCGAGGGCCCATCGCGGAGCCTCCTGGACCCCATCCGCGCCGAGGCGCACGCACGGGCAACAGAACGCCGAAGCATGCACGGGGGTTGGGCGTCCGAGCGATGGCAAGCTGCCCCCCTTCTCCCGCACGTCGTTCGGTTGGGGGAAAAACACGCAGGCAGAATTCATCGTCGATCCCCAAGAAAATATGGGAACATATGGGAATTGGGCGGGAAGACCAGAACCCAGAAGATATGGGGAAAAATATGGGGGATCATTTTATGTGTGTGTGTGTGTTTATTTGTCTGTCCTCGGGCCCCTTGAGAGTCGTGCTTGCCAAGACGTGCCGAAACGAGCTGCGCCCGCGCCCCCGCACTGCCCCTGGAGGAGCGGCCCCGACCCGCGCGCCGAGGGGCGGGCGGGCCAGGACGGGCGCTATCCCCTGCAAGGGGCGCCCTCGAGGGCGCGAAGCTATTCGCGCTTCGCGGTTCGGCTCCGATTCCCTCTACAGGGGGCGTATTCAACAACAGTCAAAACATAACCTGGGGACCATTTTTTGAGCATTGTCTGCAATCTTGGAGTATTTTGTGAGTTTGTTTTTCAGTTTTCGTCGAATATCACCCTGTAGGTGGACACGCCCGGCTTAAGCATAGGAGAGGGGGAGGGTTTCCAACGGCGCCCTCGAGGGCGCGAAGGTATTCGCGCTTCGCTCTTCGCGCTTCGGCTCCGATTCCTCCTCCTCCTCCTCCTCCTCCTCCTCCTCCTCCTCCTCCTCCTCCTCCTCTTCTCCCCTGGGAGGCGGCGCGAGGGCGCGAAGTAACCCGCGCTGCGCGCCCTCGCGCGGCGCGGAGCGCGAAGCCGGGAGCCCCTGCCCCGGGGCCGCTGTGCGCGCGGCGGCCGCGGCCCCCGCGAGGCCACGGTCAGATCGGTGACGCGCTACGACGGGCTCAGGACCGCCGCTCGCGGGGGCAGGCAGTCACCACCCACCAAACCACCCCAACCCAAACCGAAGGTCTCGATTTGCCCTCCATTTCCAGTTGGGGGGGGGGTCGGGGAACATCGAGAAAACACATATGGAACCCGTACCCCCCCCAACCCGAAATTCGGGTCTTCGGGTTGGGTTGGGGTGGTCTGGTAGGTAGTCAGGCAGCGCAGCGCCACTGCCATCGACTCGGTAGCAGACCGTGGGAGCCTGGTGTGCCCTCGCGATCCCGTCTTCGGCGTCGATTGGCGTCGATTCGCGCCCGGGAGTCGGTGAGACAGCGCCGATCTGGAGTCGGCTGGCGTCGATTCAGCGTCGATTTAGCGTCGATCAGCGTCGATATTGCCTCGATGTTGCGTCGGTTCGCAAGAGCCGACAAGATGGTGTGGGAGGCGAGGCTCCCATGGGTTGCCACCGAACATCGGGGGGAATTCAGGACGGAGCTGATGTGTGGGATGCAGGTGTGCATGACGTCCCGCGTCAGCTCCCGAAACAGCATGCGCTACCACCACCACCACCACCACCCCGGACCACCCTCTGCCTCCATCCTCCAGGTGGTGTTCGAGGAGGAGGAGGAGGAGGAGGAGGAGGAGCAGGAGCAGGAGCAGGAGCAGGAGCAGGAGCAGGAGGGGGAGCAGGAGGAGGAGGAGGAGGAGGAGGAGGAGGAGGGGGAGGAGGAGGAGGAGGAGGAGGAGGAAGAGGAGGAGGAGGAGGAGGAGGAGGAGGAGGAGGAGGTGACGCGCTCGCCATGGTCAAGACGCTGAAAGAAGGCGCACTGTGGGCTCAGGAGGGGCTCTGGCTTTCGGGGCCGTTGTTGTCTGTTCGGCCTCCTGGGGCCTGCGTTTCTCGCCACCCCTGGGGGGCTCGCGGGCTTCGAGGTCCCTCGGCCTGCTCCGTGCAAGGGAGCAAGAGTGGCAATGTGGCGCGCAGGAAGAGCGCAGCAGAGCGAAGGAGAGGGAGGAGCAGGAGGAGGAGAAGGCGCTGGGGCGGAGGGGGAGGGCTGCTCTAGGGAAGAGGGTCGAGGAAACGCAAATGTGAATTCAGGCACGTGGATTGGCGACGGGTCCCAATTCCATGCGAAGTCGGCGCGCTCTGTCGCCAAACCGGGTGGTGTCGGCTTCGCGTTTTGGTGGGTACCTTCCCCGATCCATGGATTTGTAATGCATGTTAGCGTGCGCCCAAGAAATGGGGGAGGGCACACATCTGCGTCCGTTTTAGCCAGACGGGGCGAGGAACACCGACGGCTTCGTTATGCGCGAGCTCGACCTCGTTCAGGCCAGCCCTCCTCCCCTTCGCTTCCTCCTGGCAGGACTTCCCAATACGTACCCTCGGACACAAGGAAGGTCGTTATTCCAAGACTATGGGATGCCCCAGTAAGTGGGCTGAAGGAGGACCGCCCTTCCGTGTCTCTTTAGTCTTCCCTTTTTTCTTCCCATTCGCGCAAAAGTGATGCCCACGCGCGCGTGCCCGCCGCCAATGAAGGTTGACGATATAATGTCCACAGAGGTCTGACTACATAGAGACCCCACTCCAAAGCCAGAAGTTCTGCAGCGAAAGGTGATGCCATTCCCTCCAGAGGCTTGCCCGCGATGAGCAGCACCTCCCGCACAGAGCCACCGTAGGAACATTCGATATTCCCATCGCTGCACATGCTCTCCCCGCTCCTTCCTTAGACTCCCTGTTCGGCAGCTTCGCGCCGCGCCGGCAGGGCGCTGGCGCCGGCGCGGGCGCTGTCAAGGTGGAAGGCCACCGGCGGCTGGCCCTCAGGCCAATCTTCGGAACCGGCTCCGCTGTCAGAGAGCGGCGGTCGCCGAGGAGGGGACGGCCCACGCGGTGGCAGCAGCCAGCGTCCGTGCCGTGCACGGCAGGATTCCGTCGCGCACTTCCTCCTCCATCCTTCCTCCTCTCCTCCATCCCTCCTCCTCCATTCCCGGATCCTCCTGCCCCTCCTCCTCCTCATTCACCCTGCTTCTTATATAGATGTACATATATGCACATCTACATATGTGTATGTATATACGTAGCTCCTCCCTGTCGCACCCACAGGCACGTCGGTGGGGTGGGCCAGGCGTTTCGTCTGAGACTTCCTCACCACCTATGACCCTGAATAGCTTGAAGTTTGCAGCGGTTTCACGGATGGACGGCGTGCCGTTTTCCGAGCTGCGGTTCTCGTCCCAGCTCCGCGCGCAGGCGTTTCAGACCAGCTGCAGCAGTGTCGGGGATGGAGGGCGGCCCGTTTTCAATGTTGATGGGCGTGTTTTCCACCACCACCACCATAAGTTGGAGGGGGGAAGGAGGAGGAGGACGAGGAGGAGGAGAACGAAGAAGAGAAGGAGGAGGAGGAGGAGGAGGAGGACCCCCTCGCCCTCCAACTTATGGTGGTGGTGGTGGAAAACGAGCCCATCAAATGTGTGGCTCGCGCTTCAGCGTTAAGTCGGGCCTGTGCCTCTACAGGAGGAATATTCAAAAACGGTGAACAAACCGTCGGGGGACGACTTCTTGACTATGTTTGACTTTGTCTGAGCATTGTGCTTTTACTATTTTTCAACATTCGTCCAACATCTGCCTGCATGCGGACCTGGCCGACCTAACATTAGCGCCCCGCGCAGCCGTTTCAAAACAAGTTCGACACTTCAAGGATGAAGGGCGGCTATTTTTCACACTGTGGCTCTCGCCTTTGCGCCCCCGCACATTCGCTTCGATCGTGCGCAACAGTCTTAAGGGTTCGCAGGGTCGACGTCGCAGGAGTGGTGCTCTGCCAAGGTGCAGGAGCGTCTGAGCGCAACAGTCACGTTGATGACGGAGTTGCAGTCCCAGGAATGGTGCTGTGTCAAGACTGAGGATTATCAGACGGTTGTCCTCCGATGGGGCATGTCCCGCAACGAGAGTAAGTTCTTGTGCGTAAGGCCCTTCAAAGAGTGATCTTGGAGGGAGGGCTTCTTGCAGCATCGTCGATGCGTCTAGGGCTTGCACTGATCCTCCTCCTCCTTCTCCTGCCGGACCTCCCTCCCCTTTTCCAAGGCTCGTTTCGATTCCACCCATTCGATCGATTCGATTCGATTTCGATTGTTTACGATTCCGATTCGATTCGATTTGGGATTCCGATTCGAGTTCAGATTTCAGTCCTGCCGAGTTCTGCCGACTCGACTTCTTCCGACGCGGCTGCCGATCCCCGCTGACCGATCCGAGTTGTCGATTCGCTTTTGGCCTCTCCTGCCTTCCTCCGGCGCTGCCGCCCAGCCCGGCGCCCCGGCGCGGCCGCGGGGGGTGCCGCCCTGCCCGGCATCAGTCGGGAGCTTTGAGACGGGGGTCAATGCAAACGGGGGTCAGCCAGAGCGCCAGATCTTGCAGGATCCTGCAGGGCCAGGCTCCCATTGACCCGGGTTTGGGTGCAGGATCTTGCAGGATCTTGCAGGATCCTTCGCATTGACCCGGGTTTGGGTGCAGGGTCTTGCAGGATCTTGCAGGATTCTGCAAGCCCTGGCTGACCCGGGTCTGGGTTGACCCGGGTCAGGAGATCCCCGAATCAGTATCGTTGAACCGACCTCTGCAGTGGAGACCCATGCCAAGACACACCTTGCTCGCCTCCAGGGTGCCCTGGGTTTCGCGGGTTGCGATGGTTGTGCGACGGAAAGCGCGCCGCTCCCGCACCCCGAATCGAGGGACATCCTGGGGTCTCGAGATTGGGTTTCCTGTGGGAGGTTTCTTTCTGTATCCCCATCCCCATCCCCGTCTAGACCCCCCTCGGGGTTGGGTTTCCTGTGGGAGGTTTCTTGCTGTATCCCCATCCCTATCCTCATCTAGACCCCCCTCGGGGTTGGGTTTCCTGTGGGAGGTTTCTCACTGTATCCCCATCCCCATCCCCGTCTAGACCGACCCCCACTATCTCAGCACCCCCGTTGGGGACACAGTCAACCCGCATAGTAAGGATGGGCAACCTTCCCAAGGGTATCCTTGCATCCTTGCCTCCTCGGTCCATCCTTCGCCACTTTCGCTTGCCGCGCCCCGCTCGAAAAGCTCCGGAATGGGCGTCCAGGGCCCCTGCAGCCTCATCGCGCATCCTTACTGTACTGGTTGACTCTGTTCAGGAGGAAAAAAAACACACAGACACAATTAATCGTCGATTTCCCAGAAAATATGGGAAAATATGGGAAGTGGTGGGGAAAACAAAAACCCAGAAAATATAGGAAAATATGGGGAATCTTTTTATTTGTGTGTATTTATTTGTGTGTCCCAGTTTCCCTTCATCTGTGCCCCTCGAAGCCCGAAGGAAGCAGCCCAGATCCTACCACCCGGGGGGCATCGGGGCCATCGGCCCGAGGGGCCCGGGCCGCGCCCGTGGGGATAAAGGGCTCGATCGGGCATGCCCCTTCTGCAGGATCGGGGGAGCGTAAGACCCGGGTTTGCCAGGACTCGGATTCGCCATTTTTTTTTGACGACCGCGACTCGGATTTTGACGAGGAGGAGTTTCGTGGGATGTCTGCAGCGGGAGGCCTCGTCAAAATGCAGGCTCGGCCTCGTCATTTTTTTGACGACCTCGTCGGGGATTTCCGAGTCCCCCGTACCCGGGTCTTATGTCTCCCCGACAGGAGGAAGACTCCAAAACAGTGCAGCAAAACTGGTCCTGGGACGACGCTCGACCATTTTTTGATGGTCTGGGGTGCTGCTTGGCCTATTTTGTTGGTGATTTTTTCGTCCCAAGTCCCGCCTGTTGGAGGACGTGCCCGACCTGAGGACAGGGGTCAGTTGGACGACGCTCGCCGCAGGTGAAGGGCAAGTCCCAGCCCACCCGCATCTACGAGGCGTGGGGGGGGGGCGCGCGCGAGGAGCTCAGAGGGGAGGCCGAGTTACGGTGCGAGGTTTCCAGGCGTTCTTCCCTGCTCCCGGCGGCTTTCTGTCCTCGGGATGCCTTCCAGCGGCCGCGCCTCGCCGCAGAGCGCTCCGGGGGAGGGGCCCGGACCGCCCCGGGCGGCCGCCAGAGAGCCGGGTTGTGCACCGAGAGCCGACGGCAACGACGGCGGCGACGACGACGATCGGAGGGGGGCGAGTTGAGACGAGCTGGCCGTCTTCGGCGTTCCTCGTGCTCGCCCTCGAGGCCCCCCCTCGTCGCCACAGCGCCTCACCCCCAGACAGGGTCGTGGGCGAAAAGCGCATCCGTACCCGCGGCCGCGCGGGCGGGGCACCTGGGCCGCGACCCCGCGGAGACGGGGCGTTGCAGACTCGCCGCTCGTGAGAAGAGAGGCAACACGGTGAAAAATCACCTCCTCCTCCTCCTCCTCCTCCTCCTTCTCCTCCTCCTCCTCCTCCTCGTCCTCCTCCTCCCCCTCCTACGGCCAGTGCCCTGGACCCGATCGCTCTGCGCTATGCTTCGAGCCGGACCGATCTGCGAGGGTCCTGGGGCCCGAAGGTGGGCGACGTCGCCCGGCTCGAAAAAAATGGTCTGCGGGATTGCGCCCCGGAATCCTCGGGGGCAACGATAGGGGGGGGGGGGATTGGGCGTAGGGGGGGATGCACCGACCCCCAATCGCCCATTCATCGCCGATGGGGGCCCGACAGCCCCAGCCTGCCCAGGAGCGTGCGGTTTTGCTGTCGGGGGCCACTCGCCGATCTCTCGGCGATGTATCGCCGATTCCAGGTCGATGTTCCCCCCCTCCCCCCCCCCCCCCCCCCCCCGGCGAGCCCCCCCCCCCCTCGTCTCCGCCTACGCCCCTCCCCGCCCGTGGTGAGGCCAGGGGGCGCCCTCCTCGTACTGAGAGCGCCAGGATCCGAGCCGCGCGATGTGGGGATGGTGCGCGAAACACACGCTTTGAAGTCGAGCACGAAGTTGGGTTTGTGGTTCTGCGGGTCCTGTGGAGCCTTCGCGAGCCATCATAACCTTCAATTTAAGGTGCCCTGCCTTTCAACGGCCACACCAACAGCGGAGGCATATTTAAAGAGAATCGAACGGGGCTTGCGGCCTAAGGCCCAGGGTCGTACGGCGAAGGGGGCTTGACAGGAGTCTTGTCCTGATCTCCCCTCCCAGAGGTAAGGCCGAATTTTCGCTTAGTGAACCGACATTGTCATTCTCCTCCTCCTCCTCCTCCTCCTCCTCCTCCTGCTTCTCCTCCTCCTCCTCCTCCTCCTCTTCTCCCTCCCCCCCTCCTCCTCCTCCTTCTCCTCCTCCTCCTCCTCCTCCCTCCTCCTCCTCCTCCTCCTCCTCCTCCTCCTCCTCCTCCTCCTCCTCCTCCTCCTCCCTCTTCCTCCCCCTCCCTCCTCCTCCTCCTCCTCCTCCTCCTCCTTCCTCCTCCTCCTCCTCCTCCTCCTCCTTCCTCCTCTCCTCCTCCTCCTCCTCCTCCTCCTCCTCCTCCTCCTCTCCTCCTCGCCGCTGCTCCCAACAAAAAGCCGCCAGATCGCGAGGGCGCGGACTGTCGGAGGTGCCCGCATGCCCAGCCTCGGGCCTCCTCCTCCTCTCGCCCTGGCGAGGGGCCCCCCTCGGGGGCGGCCTCGCCCGTCGCCGCGGAGACGGGAGCGGCCTCGGGGGATTGGGCCCTGAGGTGGGGCGAAAGAGGCAGAGGGTGGAGGAGGAGGAGGAGGAGGAGGAGGAGGAGGAGGAGGAGGGTGAGGAGGAGGACGAAGAGGAGGAGGAGGAGGCGGAGGAGGAGGAGGAGGAGGAGGAGGAGGAGGAGGGTGAGGAGGAGGACGAGGAGGAGGAGGAGGAGGAGCACCTCCCCCTCCTGCTGCCTACTTTTGGTGGTGGTGGTGGTGAAACACACGCCCACCTTGGATCGAAGGAGAGGCAACGCCATAAACAGAACCTGTCGGAGCTCCGCGCGGATTCCTTGGATCCGCGCTGGGGCCCCGCGAGGCGGCGCCGCTGCCGCCGCGCCTGGCGCGCTCCGCGCACCAGGGAGGGAGGTCCAGCGCAGGCCCAAGAGATCCGTGTTAGTGGCGTTTTTCTGTTTCTTCTGCTGCAGGATCTTGCCAATCCTTCGGCGGCGGGCGAGGACGAGGACGAGATCTGGGGAGCTCCAGGGCAGAGTCGGCGACGGGGGAGTCCCTCGGAGGCAGACCACCGCTACCTACATTGGCCCTCCCGCGGCACAGGATGGCTCTGGCCAGGCTTGGCAGTGGTTCGGCGGCGCACCCAGGGCGGAAGTGAGCAGGAGGAGGCCTCCTCAGAAGGTGGCGGGGCTGCTCGGAAGCCTTCTGTGTCTTCTGGGAAGGCTCGGAAGGCTTCTCAGAAGGCCAGAGGGCCTCGAGCCTCCTGGGAAGGCCCGCCCCCCCTCACTGCCCTCCCAGGATGGCCTCCCAATCTCTACTGCACAGCAGTCAGTCGTGATCGGAATGGGGGAAAATCGGGCAGGGTGACTGTCGAGCAGTTTACTTGCTCCCTCTCCTGGTCCTCTCGGGTGCCTGGGTCCTCGTCCACAGTACGCTCGCGTGCATGCGCTCCTCCGTCCACAAGCCCATCCCCGCCACCTGCGGGGACAGACTGTGCGATGCGCGAGTCCGCCTCAGGGCAGGGTCGGTTGGGACTCGGGCGCCCATCGAACCCGACCCGTCCGTCCAGCTCCCTGCATTTCGTCGCGGCAGCGAGAATATCGTGGGGAGTTGCTCCGCTGCGTGCTGACGGCCAGACGGCGGATTTCTGCGGGGATGAGGCCCCCCTCAATTGTGCCCTGATAGCATGGCGGCGGGTGCCGGTTCTGGCTCGCATTTGTTCTGGCTTGGGTCAGGTCAAGACGGCCCATGAAGCTTCCACGATGGCCACAAGAAGGTCCCAAGATGGCCCAAGAGATCCCGCGATGGCCCGACATGCATCCCAGACAGCCTCAAGGCGCGTGCCGCTCCGTGCCATGTGTCATGTGGAACAAGATGTACGCCAACCACCTGCTTCAAGTCTTCTCTCTCATCGGATATTTCTCCTCCCGTTTCGTCCATTCATATTATTCCGTAAACTCTCACTTCTCTTCCACATTGTCCTTCTCTTTCTCTCCCCTTTGTCCTCCCTTCTAAGCTCTTTCTCCTTCTTGTCGCCGCGTTGCAGTGGCATATACATTCCCTTGGGAGAGAGGGCGGCATGGGGGAGGAGGGAAGGACGATAGAGGAGGGATGGAAGATGGATGGAGCATAGGGAGGATGAGGGGCAGAGAGAGTAACGAACCACCTTCCTGCATCTGAGGCGACTGCGGGGGGTCGTCCTGGAAGGTGCCGCCGAAAGCCCTCCCGATAGCAACCTATCGAGAAGTACCGACGTGAGCCCTCCCCGGGCTGCCTCCTGTCTCGAGAGTTAATACGGAAGGTTTCTGATGCAGCGGCTGATCCCTCAGCCATAGCTTCCTCTGGCGCTGCCAATTCTGGTTCTCTGCTCACCGGCTCAAGGTCATGGGCATCAGTGACGAGGAGGTGTTCAACGAGGATTGCCAGCCAGTGCAAAGGGCCTCTGCTTGTAACAGCCCTCTGGGTGGACCAGGCAGGCACATGGAGGAGAAACGAAAAGTGAATTTGGCGTTGAGGATCTAGAGGAGGAGAAGGAGGAGGAGGCGGATGATAAGGATGAGGATGATGAAGCGGGGGAGGAGGAGAAGGGAAATTGGAGAAGGAAGAGGCGGAAGGGACGATTGGATGCTGCCAGCTCCGCTCCCTTCGGTGCAGCAACCATGGGACATTCAAACTCCAGCATTACGGCTAAGAGCTTGAGACTTGAGGGAGCTTCCTTCTGAAACAGAGCATTGGATGTGAAATCGCTCCTTGGAAGCACGCTCTGGGAAATCTGATGCTGACGTCATGATGTTGGCGCTTTTTGCGGGGAGGACCTTGCAGAATCGGCTCCCAGGCCTCCCATGATGCCTCAGGCATGTTGCGAGATGCGTCAAGGCCCCAACATGCTCCAAAGAGGTCTCAAGCGTCCCGGGATCCCCAGGCGGAGCGAAACAGCTTTTCACCCCACGGGGGCCTACTACCTCTTCTTCGCCGTCGTCGTCGTCGTCGCTGTCACCGCCGGCGTAGTCGTCGTCCTCCTCCTCCTCTTCCACCTCCCCCTCCCCGAGGGAGAGAGGGAGAGAGAGAGAGAGAGGGAGAGTCATAGAGACAGAGGCAGACATATTGCAAGGGGGGCACAAAGAGAGAGAGAGAGAGAGAAAGAGAGATAAAGAGAGAGAGAGAGAGAGTGGCAAGCGACTGCACCACGACACTTCCGTCCTCCACCGTCTCCAGCAGAGGCCGGGCGCCAGAGCGCAAAGAAGAAGCCAGGAGCGCCAGATCGAGAAGCAGGGATGCCAGACTCCGAGCGCTGAGCAGTAAGGGGGCACAGGAGCATCACGCACGAGCATCGGCTCCACCAGCCGCCCGCGCTGCTCCGGCGGTGGATGGGCGGGGCCCAGCACGGCCCCCGCCAAGGAGCACCTCGTCAACCCTTTGAGGGCCTGCGGCGACTCCATGACGGCCCTCCGCGCTTGCCAGCTCTCTCATCGCGCTCAAGCTCCTCCCTTGCCCCTCTGGACGAGGAAGAGGCGGTCGGCTAGTTACGGACTCGTCGCGTTCGCCCTGGTGATCAGTGGGTGGCGAGTGGGCAGTCTTCGCCTGTCATTGCAAGAGGAGGAGGAGGAGGAGGAGGAGGAGGAGGAGGGAGAGGAGGAGGAGGAGGAGGGAGAAGGAGGGACGAGGGAGGAGGGACGAGGGAGGGAGGAGGAGGGAGGAGGAGGAGGAGGAGGAGGAGGAGGAGGAGGGAGGAGGAGGGGAGGAGGGGAGGAGGGAGGAGGGAGGAGGAGAGAGAGGAGGAGGAGAGGAGGAGGAGGAGAGGAGGAGGAGGAGGAGGAGGAGGAGGGGAGGAGGAGGAGGACAGGGGGCAGGGAGGGGAAGGGCACATTCGGCTGGACATTCGGCTGGATGCCTTGCCAGCGTTCGGCGCTTGTGTGGCTCGGTAAACGCAGGGCTGCTGCATGGTGTGTCCAGCGCGTGGCATCCGGGCGTTTCATGTGTAAACCAGTTGCGTGTCATTCCTCCTCATCCTCCTCCTCCTCCTCGTCCTCCTCCTCCTCCTCCTCCTCCTCCTCCTCCTCCTCCTCCTCTCTCCTCTCTCCTCTCTCCTCCTCCTCTCTCCTCTCTCCTCCTCCTTTCTCCTCCTCCTCCTCCTCCTCCTCGTCCTCCTCGTCCTCATCCTCCTCCTGTTTCTGTCCTCGTATCTGTCTTCGTCTCAACTTCGGAGGACTTCCCGGAGACCTTTTGAGGCCCAAGTCCACTTGGCTTGCGGGGTCCCAAGCCAGCGGCGGGGCCAAGAGCAGTGCTTCCTCCCTCTTCAACCCAGGCCGGACGCAAGGTTTAGCCTGTCGGCGTCCTGATCTGATGAGTTTCCAGCTAAACGTTCTCTGCTGTTTTCTTACGCTTGTAGCTCGCATGGGAAAAGCCGATGCGGCAACCCAGTGCTTCCACGATCGTTCCTTGACTCCTGGGGAGGAGATGGTGGGCAGGAGTGAGGTAGGGCAGGAGGATGGGGCAAGGTGGCGTGGATGAAAGGGGATGGGGGATGAAAAGTCGGAGCAGGGGGGACTGCCGCGCTCTTGCCCCCCCTTCCTCTTGCACCCCCAGGAGGTACGGCACGCACGGGGAGGCGTAGGGAAGGCCAGACTTGCGGTTTCAGTGGAGGCCTCCCAAGACGGCGCCAGCCCACTCGGGCGAGCTAGGAGGAGGCGCAGAAGCCTGAGCATCGGGCGCCTCGTGCGCTGTCATGCACGGTAGCGCAGGACCTTCGAGGTGGAGCGCAGCCAGTGGACCAGAATTTGCCGACACCGAAGGATTCGCGCCATCGGAGGGTTGCGCTCTTCGAGGTTAAGCGATCCACGTAGCCTCAGAACCACGGCTCACGTCATCGCGTCGTGGGTCTGTCGACTCCACGTGGAAACATATTCGCACACAGAACACATCACGCACCCGAGGCGGCTGGTGTTTTCATCCTAACAAGAACTCACGACCAGGTGCAGCGTTGCAATCCCATGAAATGTCTGACGCGTTCGATGAATAGCCTGGCTTCAGCCGATTGTCCGCGCTACCGCTCTTCGCTTGCAGTGATAAGGGAGATGCGTCACGCCGTCGCCGTTCCCTCAAGAGAATTGAAAAGTGCCCGTGCCGTCATTATCCTCCGTGAGTGTAAACCCCGGTGTGGGTGGGAGCGAATGTGGATGAAAGCGCATGGGTAGTATTGAGTGAAGATGAAAAGTGAACGAGGGCAAGGGAAAGAGGAGGGAGGGAAGAAGGATTCAGCGTTGTGAATCTGGGAACAGCGGAATACTGTGGAAGGAGCCATGGTATACAAATATTGGATAGGAAGGGAATGAATGCGGGCAGAGTTCGTGAAGACGGAAGCAAGACGGAGTGAAGAACGGAAGGCAGGAAGGAAAGGCAGACAAAAACAAGATGTGTGGCAGAAGGACAGATGGAATCTATGTAGTAAAAGTACAGGTGGAAGATGCGTGGTAGAAGGACATGTGAAAGATGTGTAGAAGGTCATGCAGGCAAAGGAAGATGTCTGGTAGAAGGGCAGGTGAAACACAGGAAGGGGGCGGAGCGGGCAGAGACGATAGCGGACAAATGTGGGAGGGCGAGAGGGGGGAGGAGGTCGCAATTAGTACAGTCGGACCGAGGTAAAAGATCGAGGTCGGTTCAGGGAGGGTACCCTCGTGCTCTTTGTGTATGTTGGATGTTGTTGTGCATCCTGGGGAGGGTACCCTTGGATGTTCTGTGTGTTTTTGCCGGCAGAAGGTCTCATGTTCTTGAGGGATGATCTTCTGGCCGCGGGCCGATTGCACGAGGATGGGAAACGGAGGGAGAGGGTGGATTCCAAAGCAGAATTGCGTGTAGATTCCCTTCACAGGGGGGGAGATTGCACATCGATTCTTGCCAGGGGTGGGTTTGGATGCAGACTTCCCGTGAATGGTTACGCAACGATTCATTTGTGGGCGAGCCGCTCTTGTGAGCATGGCAGTTCCCCAGAAAGGGCGTAGGCTCAGGGGTCTCCTTTCGTAGGTAAATCAGCCCCCCCGCCGGCGAAGTTGTTGACGATCAACCGCTAGGTACAGTTTCATGCTGCTCTTTAAAAAGGGTTTCGTACGTGCCCGCTCGAGGAAAGTGCGCTCCCCTGTCGGATCCGCGATACATAACGGCGCCCGCAGACCCCCGCCCTCCACAGTAACAGTGGGCGCGAGCGAGCGTGTCGTGCAGAATCCTCTATAGGTAACAAGGTGTGGAAGCCCTTTATAGCTTCTGCGGGAAAAAGCGCATGTTGCCTTTTTGGAGTGCCCGCTCGAGGATTGCGCGTCCTGCGCGAAGAGATGCCGAGGACGTTTCGAGCGAGACCCTTAAGTTGCAGAACTTGGAGGGCTTCGGCGCCCAAGGATGCCCTTGTGGTTCTGGGAATGCGGAAGCGCGTGATGCCCAGGGCGGGACAAGCGTGAGCACACGTGGGCCCCAAGCGCCCCAGGGCGGGACAAGTGTGAAAACACGCTGTTTTTTTTCCGCCCCAGAGTGGAGCAAGCGTGAAAGCACGTGGGTCCGTATCGCCCCAGTGCAGAACACGGGTGAACACACGTGGGTCCGTCTGCACCCCAGAGCGGAAGAAGCGTGAACACACGTGGACCTGTTTCGCCCCAGGGCGGAATACACGTGAAGACTCATGGGCTGTTTTCGCCCCAGTGTTGGGCAATCTGAAATACTTGTGTCTTTTTCGCCCCAGTGCGAGACACAAGGGCGCCCTCGAGGGCGCGAAGTTATTCGCGCTTCGCGGTTCGGCTCCGATTCCTCCTCATCCTCCTCTTCTCCCTTGGGAGGCGGCGCGAGAGCGCGAAGTTATTCGCGCTTCGCGCAGCGCGAAGCGCGAAGTTGGGAGCCCTTGCTGAAACACTTAGGTCTTTTTCGCCCCAGTGCGAGACAAGGGCGAACACACTTGGACTCCTAAAGCCCCAGGGCGGAACAAGCGTGACGACGAGTGGGTTCCTCACGCCCCCCAGGGGGACAAGCGTGAAAACACGGGGGTGCCCTTCGCCCCAGGGCGGGACAAGCGTGAAAGCACGTGGATCCGTGCCGCCCCAGGGAGGGAGAAGCGTGAACACATGTGGGTTTTTTTCGCTTCAGAGCGGTACAAGCATGAACACACGTAGGTTGTTTTGTTTGCCCCAGAGCGGAACAAACGTGAACACACATGAGCTTTTTCGCCCCAGAGCGCAAGAAGCGTAAAAACACGTGGGTTCCTGCCCCAGGGCGGACCCTATCTTCCCGTGGCCGGGGGACGCGCCAGGTTCCGTGGCGCGTCCCCCATGTCACGTTCCGTGGCGCGTTCCTTGGCGCGTCCAACTGGCACAATGCGCGGCGCATTCCATGGCACGCCCACCGGCTCGCTCCGTGGCGCGTCCCGTGGCACGTCATTGTGCGGCGCGGTACAGCGTAGAGCAGCACAACACAGCCCCTGGCACAGCATTATCACCATTGACATCTTCAGCGCTGCCACTGCCCATCGCCCACTTGAGGTACTTGGAACCGTTCCCGTGCCTCGCAGTTCTGAATCCCTTCCTGGATGTGTGGGTCGATCACGCTTGTTTTAGTCGACAGCCTGCCCCCCTCTCTCCCTCTCGTTCTTCTTCCCTTCCCCTCATCAAGTAACTGCTCAGCATGATACAGCGACTTGTCGGCATTTGTGGCAGCTCCGCGGCCGTATTCCCTCGCTCAAGTTCTAAAGGAATGCAAGCATTCTTTGAGCGGGTCTGCGCCGACCTCACCAGTGCCCTCACCACTGCCATCATAGTTCGCGGCAGCTCGACGCCCTGCCCAGATTGTGTCTGCTCTCCTGCGTTGCACTGCCCTGCGTTGGAGTGCCGCTGCCCGACAGGCGAGGGCTCTGTGGCATCTGCGCAGCCCACAGGCTGGTCAACTGAGTTCGTGGTCGTGCTCGTGGTGAGCTCGTTCGCATACGGCATCGTCGTCGGCGGCTTCTTCGTCAAGAGCTCTCGGACGGCCCCCGTGGTTCAGCCTGCACCCGCTCCAGCACCTCAGCACGAGGCGGTGGACACTCTCGACCTTGCGACTGCGGCCGCTGCCCAGGCGAGGAAGTTCCGCCGCTAGGAGCAATGGCTGTACGCACCACTGGCCAGTTCCACTACGTACGGTACAACGTCGGGGGGCCCGCCATCTACCACGAGAGGCTCACTTTGCTGCCAGGGTACATCCTCGCCCCCGGCGATGACGACTATGCGGAGAGCGACTTGGCAGGCGGCGACTTGAGATCAGTGCATGACTCGGCGGGCCAGGGCGACGCGATCGTCGGAGTCGCCGCCCACAGCCTCTACAAGTTCAGACGGCTGCCGTCCGCAGCCGTCGTCTGGGCTGCTGTGCGCCGCGGCGTCGCTCAGGGCCACGGACCTCTGCCGCCGTCGCCATTCAACCTCGAGCTCAGCGCCGACAGCGTGCTGGGCGTGGCGGCGGGGGTGCTGGCCTTGCCCGACCCGCTCGGAGCAGCGCCCGCTGCCGCAGCGCCTGGCGCGCTGGCCTTGGCTGGCGCGGCCGCGCCCCCCGCGGGCGCCCCTGGGCCGCCCGCCGCGGTGGCCGCGGCGCCCGAGGGCGGGGTGGGCGCGCTGGCGGCGGCGCTCGGTGCGGGGGGGGCCGCCCTGCCTGCTGCCGCTGACCCTCCGGGCGTCGGCGGCGCCGCCGCGGCCCCCGCGGCCCCAGGGGTCGCGGGGCCTGATCCCCGCGCGATGGCCACCGTCCTCGACGCTCGTGGGTTGCGGGACATGCCCTTCAGTGACGCCGTGAAGCGCCAGACTGAGACCCCCCGCGCCGATTGGCCCGTGAGGGGCCCAAGGGCCACGATGTGGGTGCTCCACTTCATGCTCCGCATGGCTGGCGGGGCGATGGCATGGCACAACCGCTGGATGGCCATGATGCAGGCCCTGGAGACGGACGACACCGCCAAGCTCCACGAGACGCTGCGCCGCGTCATCGAGTCCTCGCTCTGCCACGAGCAGCTGATCATCTGCGAGCTGGCCTCCTACGAGTTCCTGTCGCGGCAGCTGCAGTTAGTGGAGGAGCGCGCGCGCAGGACCCACCCTGCGCCCAAGGCCAAGGGCCAGGCCAAGGACGGCGCCGCGTCCGCGGCCGCCGACGCCTCCTCGGAGATTGGCCACTTCCTCGGCACGGGAGAGACGATGGGCAACTTGTGCATTTGCCCAGCCTTGATGGATTGGATCGCCGACCAGATGAAGAGTGAGGCAGCCGTTGCAAAAGAACGCCGCAAGGCTCGCGAGGAGCGGGCCTTGCGGCATCCATGACGTTCCTGAAGGACGCTGGCCAGGAGGGACCCCACGACGTGCTACCTGTTCGTGAGCCTGGCCAGCTTGGCCCCGAGCCCTTCGAGGCCCCACCTGGCTTGGAGTTGCCCAGACGAGGTGACCGTCGCCAGCGTGACGTTTTTCCGCTTCCTCGTCTTCCAGTGGATGGGCGTCGCCATCTTCCGCTTGGTCGGGGGGCTCGTCTGCGGGCCGCCAAAGGCGCGAGCTGGAGAGAGTGGTGCAACGAGGGATTGTCTGCTCTCAACTGGCTCCACTGCGACAAGGACGAGCCCTCCATGCCTGACGAAGGGGGGCCACCGCCTGCGGCCCAGGCAGCCTCAGTGGATTACATTGCGGGCATGCACCGCGACTTCGAGCTGCCCGCCGCCTACTCGGAGAGAGGCCGCGACTGCGAAACATCCCTCGTAGAGATGCTCGCGCAGGCACCTGGCTACGCTGGTGACAGCGGTCGAGTGCGCCCCTTCAGCATGCCACTTGTGGCCTGGCCCGAGTCGACGAAGGCAGTCTCCACCTGCGGCGTCGTCTCCGAGGCCGACTCCATCGTGCTGCAGGATTGGAGGCAGAGCATGCGGAATCCCGAGTCGGTGGCGGCGGAGCTTCGTGAATCGCTGGGGGTCATCCGCCCTTATGTGGATCCTGAGCTGCGCTTTAAGCCGAAGTCCTACGCTGGGTTTTTGAAGCAGCTGGAGGCCCACGACATGATCACCTGGCGGGTCTCCAGCGAGCAGGCATCCTTCTCTACTGGTCTTTTCTTTGTGCTGAAATCTAACGGCAAGCTGAGGTTGGTGTTCGACACCAGGCTGGCCAAATGCAGCTTCTCGTGCCCACCAGCCACTCGCCTGCCCGCGCCCAGCGCGCGGGCCAGCCTTGGCTGCGACAACAGTTTCAGCTCGCGCAGGGCGACATTCAGTGTGCATTCTATCATTTGCGATTGCCGGCTGGCATGGAGTCTCTGTTCTCTTTGCCACCGATAAACAACAGATTCCTCGGCCTCAAGTCGGTCAGCGGGGTTCGTCTTGGCATCAGCGACTATGTCCAGCCTCCTGTCACGGTCGTTCCCATGGGGTGGAGTTGGGCGCTCCACCTGTGCCAGAGTGCGCTGACGAGAGCCCTGTCGGATGTCGGGTTCGGCAGTGACGATATGATTCTGGATGGGGGCTGTCCTCGTCCCTTGGTGGCTGAGAAGGACGCGGTGTGTGCAGGTTATGTCGACAACTTCTGCGTCGCATCCAAGTGCGCGGAGACAGCCGCGCCCCTTGCTCGTGCCGTTGCTGACCTTCTCACGGCCCGCGGGTTGCCTGTCTTGGAGTTCTCCCCTGCGGTCAGTAAGGGTGTCTTCACGGGCTTGGGGATCGACGGAGCCTCTGGGATCATTCGCGTTCGTCCTGACCGCCTCGCTCGCACTCGTCGCGCCGTTCTCGGACTGCTGAAGCGTGGGCGGGCCTCTGCTGGGGCCCTCAGCGTGCTCGTAGGCCACTGTACTTGGGGGATGATCCTGAGGCGCGACGTTCTGAGCATCTTTAACGCGGTCTATCGGTTCATGGGGGCTGCGGGACCTCATCCTGGACCCCTGTGGCCCTCGGTCGTCAGGGAGTTGTCGGCTGCCGTGGCCCTCATCCCGCTCTGGGGTGCCTCTACAAGGTCTCGCTAGTATCCACGGGTGCATGCTTCTGATGCGTCGCCGTTCGGGAAGGGTGTCTGTGTCGAGGAGGTCTCCCCTACGCTGTCGTCCGAGGTCGGCCGAGTCGCCGAACGTTGGAGGCGTCGTCATGGGGATGCTGTGCTTGCCAGATCACACGCCCTAGACGTCGACGGTCGAGACGATGCTGCCGACGGTTGCCGTGCCGACACTTCGTCTACTGCTCCTACTGCTTCGTCGTCTGGGCTCAATGGGTTCTACGAGGTTCCTGAGTCCATCTACGGGGCCGAGGGTTGGAAGACCATTCACTCTAGCCGTCACACCCGACGGGGCTGCGATACCCTTCAGTACGAGGCGGAGGCCCTGGGGTTCAGCGCCCATCACGCTTCGAGGACCCTGGGTGCTCATCATCATCGCGTCGTCTGTATCGTGGACAATTTGGCTCTAGCTCTTTCGCTCGGCAAAGGGCGGTCTGGGAGCCGACATCTTCTCCGCGCCCTGCGGCGCATCGCTGGCGCGGCCCTTGCCTGTGGCCTGCGCCTGCTCGTGCGGTGGGTGCCGCCAGAGAGGAATGTCGCGGACAAGCCGTCGAGGGAGGGCTTCTTCGTCGGCCCTAGCTTCGAGGGCGTCGGGTCGTACCTCGTCTCGCGCCGCCCGCGGATCCCCCAGGGAGGTGATCAAGGCGGCGAGGGGCAAGCGGGAACATCCTGGTCCGCTGACGCTCCTGCGGGGCGGACTATCGGTGCTGGAGGCCAACGCGGTCTCGGAGTCGACGGGCAGGAACTACCGCGCCTCCGCCCTCAGGTTTCTGAACTGGTGCCTCTGGACCGCCAGGGACTTCAAGAACAGCGTCGAGCTCGACGCGATCCTCGTGGTGTTATTTGTCCACCTTCCTCGACGGGCACGACAGTGCGACGGGCCGCGTCACGATGGCCTCTCTGAAGCACCATCTGCCGTCGATGCCGATGGGGGGCCGCCCTCTGCCACGGGCCTTTCGGGCCTTCCAGGGCTGGGCGAAGCTCGTGCCGCCGCAGATGCGGCCCCCGCTGCCGAGGGTCGCGATGTTCGCCATCGCGGGCGCGCTGCTGTCTCAGGGGCTTCTGTCGCAGGCGGTCTTCGTGAGGATTGCGTTCGACACATACCTGCGCCCCAGCGAGGCCTACCGACTCACGGCGGCCCCCCTGATCGCTCCGAGGTCGGGCTCCACGGAGGGCTACCAGCATTGGGCGTTGCTGGAGAACGACGCGGCGAGCGGAAGGCCTGGCAAGACGGGGGTCACCGACGAGAGCGTCATCGTCGACGATCCGCTCCTCTGGCCTCTCCTCGAGGCGTCGCGGCAAGGGCGCCGCGCGGAGGAGAGCCTCTGGGCCTTCACGCCGCACCAGCTGCGGCGCGTCTTCGCGGAGGCCCTGGTCCACCTCGGCATCTCCGACCAGCAGACCTCCCTTTACTCGCTGCGCCACGGGGGGGCCTCCGACGACCTCCTCTCGGGTCGCCGCGCGAGGAAGGAGGTCAAGGACCGCGGCAGGTGGAGGACGGACCAGTCGCTGAACAGGTACGCCAAGCGGGCGATCACGCAGCAGCGGCTGGCCCAGCTCGACCCCGCCCTAGTGGACTTCGGAAAGCGGGTCGAGAGCGATCTGCTGGGCCTGATGGGCGTGATGGCGAGGGCGGGCATCTTCTCGCTGCCGCTGCCGCCCCTGAGGCCGCTGTCGGCGTCACCGCCGGTGCAGACGGCCCCCGCGATGACCGACAAGTGGCTCTTCGTGTGAGACGCTTGTGGCTACGAGCGCGGGCGCATGCCACAGTAATGCCTTACCTTATCATGCTCTGCACCTGTGTCCCCGACCGCGTTCGGCGAGTGTGCGAGGCCCGCGGGCTCGGCACCGTAGCGGTGAACGTTGCTCGACACCGCCTCGACGACCTCGCTGACCCTCAGGTCCTGAAGGCTCTGACTGGCTGGGTGCGCGCCTCGGCTGTGCTTGGAGTCTGGGCATCTTTGCCCTGGGGCACCTGGGCGCCAGGGGCCGCGCGTGTCCGCGAGTTTGATTCTCTGTTGCACGTAAATAGAGCCTCAGAGGCCGCCTGTCGCGCCGTGCGAGTGGCCAACGCGCTGGCAGATTCCACCTTCAAATTGATTGCTGAATGTATCTTCCGCAGAGTCCCGATCATTTTTATGCACCCTGAGTCGAGCCTCATTTGGAGGCATCCCCGCCTGTCCCCTCTCCTTGCCTCGTCCTCCTCCTCCTGCTCCCTCGACTCATGCATGTATGCGGGTCGCGTGAGACAGCGAATCCACCTTGTCGGTTGCGGCGTGCGGGACCTTGAGTGTCTCGCTCGTCGTTGCCTCTGCGCCCAAGGCCTATGTGATCGCACTCAGAGACGTCACCTGGGAGGCCTGGGGCGTCCAGATCTTGACGCCGTAGCTCGTGCCTCTGCTAAGGGTATCCCCTCAGAAGTGGCCATTGCTGGCACTGAAATGATAGTGGCCGAAGTTCGTCATTTGTCCCGCGCCGCGAGATATAAGAAAATGTTTGGTCAATGAGTAATTCGGCTGTTGCCACCTGGTTAGACTAGCGTGTGGTACCATGTCTGTGCTTCACTGCTGGCGTAGCGCTCGTGGCCGCCCTCCGCCGTTTGCACAAAGATGAAACAAGATGGCCCCGAATCGTCCGCATACAGCGACTTGTCGGCATTTGTGGCAACTCCGCGGCCGTATTCCCTCGCTCAAGTTCTACCCTGGGCCCTCCCACCCACTTGAGCTTTAATGTTTCTCCGTGTCTGTGCTTCACTGCTGGCGTAGCGCTCGTGGCCGCCCTCCGCCGTTTGCACAAAGATGAAACAAGATGGCCCCGAATCGTCCGCATACAGCGACTTGTCGGCATTTGTGGCAACTCCGCGGCCGTATTCCCTCGCTCAAGTTCTACCCTGGGCCCTCCCACCCACTTGAGCTTTAATGTTTCTCCGTGTCTGTGCTTCACTGCTGGCGTAGCGCTCGTGGCCGCCCTCCGCCGTTTGCACAAAGATGAAACAAGATGGCCCCGAATCGTCCACAGTATTGTCATCACCTCTCCCCTGAACCTGTCCCGCCCCCGCCTTTCCAGCGCATCATTTTTTTCACACGGGATCTCTCAAAACCCGTCGTGCGTGCGTGCGTGCCGCAGCCACACCGGACTGCCTCGGCCTTCCGGAGGGCGCTCCCGCTGCGGCGCGCTGGCCTCGTTGCCGGATCGGCGCGCGGCCCCCGTTCGCTCCGAAGGGGCGCTCCCGCCGCCGTCGCCCCGCCCCCTCCGCCCCGGGCCGCCCCTGGGGAGCCATCCTCCTCCTCCTCCTCCTCCTCCTCCTCCTCCTCCTCCTCCTCCTCCTGCTCCTCCTCCTCCTCCTCCTCCTCCTCCTCCTCCTCCTCCTCCTCCTCCTCCTCGTCCTTTTTCTCCTCCTCCTCCTCCTCCTCCTCCTCCTCCTCCTCCTCCTCCTCCTCCAGGGCCGCGGTGACGCCCCCTCGGCGGGCTGAGAGAGAGAGACCGGCGCAGCGGCGAGTGTCAGGAGGGGAGCAACAAAAAACCACGCAGGCACAACGAGTCGACGGCCCCGAGGAACAGAAGGGGGAAACATGGGAGCTGGAGGGGGGGGGGGGGACGAAGACCCAGAAAATGCACGAACATGTGGGGGACCCTGGGCTCTGTGTGTGTGTCTTTGTTCGTGCGTCCCTGGGCCCCTTGACAGCGGTGGGCGGGATGGAGCAGGATGTCAGACGCGACGCCAGCGTCGCCTCCTGCCCTCGCCCCATCGCGGCCCCGTGCCCTCTCCCCCCTCGCCCTCCCTGCGCCTTGGCCCCTGGGGCTTGAACGGATCATGGGGCGGTGATAACAGGGGTGATTTGAGAGGGTGTTTTCATGGGTGCTGTGATCGGCGGCCAGAAGTAACTCCCGAACACAACGCTTGCGCGTGCGACGTACGCACTGCCGCGGAAAGGGACCCTTTCCGCGACTGGCCCCTCCCACCTTGAGCCCCAACTGTCGCGAGGCAGACCGCGAAACGCGCGCCAAACTCTCCCGCCGAGCCCGCCCCGAGGCGTCCACCATCGGCATGAAGAAGCTGGACGACCTCCGGTGGAACCCCCTCAAGCACATGGCCAGAAGGCGGGGCCAACAGCCTCCTCCTGGTCCTGCTCCTCCTCCTCCTCTTCCTCCTCCTCCTCCTCCTCCTCCTCCTCCTCTTCCCTCCTCCTCCTCCTCCTCTTCCCTCCTCCTCCTCCTCCTCCTCCTCCTCCTCCTCCTCCTCCTCCTCCTCCTCCTCCTCCTCCCCGGTGGACGCCTCGCGGCGGCTTGGGTTCACGCTTGGGCTGGGCGCCGGCGTTGTTCACGGCGCCGCTCGCCTCGGATGTGGCCGCTGTTGGCCACGGTCCACTGTCTTCCCGTCCTGGTGTTCGTCCCTGGCCCTCGTGTGCGAAGTGTGTGTAGGCGTGAGTGATTGTGTGTAGCATGGGCTCACCTCCACAGAAGGCGGATACCGATGTGTGTATATATACATATATATATATATATATATATATATATATATATATATATATACATACATTGGACCTCGTCGTAGTGATATGTTTGTGGACCTCGTCGTAGTGATATATGCATATACATATACATATATGTTAGTGGACCTCGTCGTGTGATCCTTTTGATTTAGTCTGATCTATGACGATACGAGCTTTTCTGTACACCACGTACGATGGAATACATCATTCAGTATGGTGGCTTCTATAGTAAGATGCTCCTCCTCCTCCTCCTCCTCCTCTTCCTCGTGTGGCGCAGCATCGTCCTGCTCGTCGTGCTGTGTCGACGGAATGGACGCGGAAATCTGCAGTCCAGCTCCCCCGCTTCCCCGCCGAGGTAGGGCCCAGTCTGGCGCGAAGAGGCGAATGGTGGCTCGACGTTCTTGGGATATTTGCGCCCTCTCTCTCTGCCCCCCCTCTCCTCAACAAAAAAACACATATATATATATCCCATTAACTCACCGCGTGTTGGTAGACTGTTGCCGCCGATTGCATTCGATCGGCGCGCCAGAGAAACTGCGCCGTCCTCCCACTCCCGGGCTTGACCCGGGATGCCCGGATTTTGCCCCCGGGATCGCCGTCCCCGTCTCCGTTTGCTGCCCACTGCTGAGGAATCTTCCTCTGCTCACTGCCGAGGTGGTCATGGTCGGAGTGGCGCCCACACCGCGGTGGTCCATTTTGGGAACATGCCTGTGTGGGCATATTTGTGCGTGCGCGCGTCCAGGGTGCTCTTCTTGGCATCGCGAGGCCGACAAGTGCACGGGGAATTTCAAATCCGAGCGATGGCGAGTCCTCAGGGTGGGCATCGGGCCGAGCGAAAGGGGGGGATAGGGAAAGGGGGGGGGGGTACGAAATCTTCGGCATGCAGCTGGTTTCGGCCCCGCCGCCAGGCCCACTCCTCGATACATGGGCGCCTCCCGGCGCCGGGAGGCGCTGGGAAAATCAGCTGCGCGAGCTGATGCTCTACCCTGCTGTCCTTAAGTCGGGCCTGTCCCCCTACAGGGGGATTTTCGACGAGAAATGAAACATACTCCAAAAATTGTCCAAACACAGTCTGGGGACCACTTTCTGAGCATCTCTTGACCGTCTGGGGGGGTACTTTGGGACTATGCTTCCTGTTTCGTCGAAGATCCCCTCTGCAGGGGGGGACAGGCCCGACCTGATGCCATCCCCCCCTTTGCCCTGACCTTCCAGAGAGCTATTTTTTAGCACTGGAGACCTAAAAACCTAAAAAGCTAAACGAAACAGCCTAAAACCAAGACGTAGAATTGCTCTGGGATAGGCTTCTAGGTCGGGTGCTATTTTTTAGCCCTCCTGGAAGGTCAGGGTGTCCTTCCCCCCGGGAGCAGCCCGGCGCTCCGGCGGAGCTCCGCGGTCGAGCACGCCGCTCCCCTGCCCGAGCCCCGCCTGCCGCCCCCCCCCCCCCGCTTGCGCTGCTGCCGTCGTGCCTCCTCCTCCTCCTCCTCCTCCTCCTCCTCCTCCTCCTCCTCCCTCTCCTCCTCCTCCTCCTCCTCCTCCTCCTCCTCCCTCTCCCCTCCGGCGCCCGCGCCGGCGCCTCGGTGCCGACAGCTCGTCCGCACGTCTCGGCTGCTTCCCGCCTCGGAGAAGAAGGAGACGAAGAGGAAGAAGAAGAAACGGTATCGACATGTGAGCTGTCGACGGTCCGCGTGGATGTCTTGGATCTGCGCTTGGGCCCCCTCGGCGGCGCCTCCGGCGCCGCCCCTGGCGCGCTCTGCGTGCCAGGGAGAGGGGTCCAGCGCATATCCGAGACATTTGTGCAGACCGTCGAAGGTTCATGTTTATTCAGTTTTGCCTTCCTCTATTGCACCTTCTCGGGGATCCCGCGGTTTGAACTTGAGCGCGCTCTTTAGCGTAGGTTGCTCAGTGTTTTGTCTTCGCAGCCCGGAGAAGTGGCCGCAGGCGGCTGTTGCAGCACCTCGGCGGAGGAGAAAAAGTGTGTCTGCGAGTGTGTGCGCGTAGGGAGGGATCATGGTGACGAGGAGAAGGAGGAGGAAGAGGAGGAGGAGGAGGGGGATGCCGCGAAGGCATAGACTGATCATTACCCAACCGTATTATTGCCAGGGGGCGTGTTGGGACGAGGAAGGAGAGGAGGAGGATAAGTGCACCGAGGAGGCATGGACCTGTAAGTGTCAACCGTTTACTTGATTTAAACTGGACAGGGTCGAAAGATGGTTGGCTCTATATGTTGGGCTGTTTTCTTCGTGCCCTCGTGGGCTGGGTCGGGACCCTCCTGGCGTGTGTCTGGGGGCTGGCTTGGAGAGTCTTAGAACCGTCTTGGGGCGTTGAAAAAGGCCAGCCTTTTGGGGTGACCTGGCGCCACCAGGCCTAGAGGTTGACACCAACACCAATATCGGCGGTGTGCCTCCACCGGGGGAAGAATATTCCGATCTCGGTGATGGTGGTAATATTCTGGCTCCCAAGGTGACCAAGACAGAACCACCAGCACCGAAATCTGAGATCATCCTCCCCCTGTGGAGGCAACCCCCCTGTGTTGGTGTTGATGCCCATTTCCAGGCCTCCAACAGCCAGAGGCATCCGGGGGCCATCGCGGGGCGGCATGGGGACCCGTCTTAGAACCGCCTTGGGGCGTTGAAAGGCCGGTCTTTCGGGGTGATCTGGCGCCAGAATGGAGCTATCTCGGAGACCAGCCAGAGGCATCCGGGGGCCATCGCGAGGCAGCACTTGGGACCCCTCTCGGGCCGTCGGAGGGCCCGCCGCGTGCTTCGAGGGCCCTCCTCGGTGGCCTCTCTGGAGGAGGAGGAGGAGGAGGAGGAGGAGGAGGAGGAGGAGGAGGAGGGAGCCCGCCCTGCGCAGAGCCGTCTCCGAGCCGCTCCGGTGTTCTTCTTGGCGAGCCACACGCGGGCCAGCGTGTGGCCCAGTTTTTCAGGAGGGGGAAAACACACACACACACAGACACAAGTAATCGTCGATTCCCAAGGAAATATGGGGAAATATGGGAATTGGGGGGAAAGGCAGAAGCCCTGAAAATCTGGGAAAATATGGGGAATCCTGTCATTTGTGTCTAATTGTGTGTGTGCGTGTGCGTGTGTGTGTGTGTGTGTGAGTGAGTGTGTGAGTGAGTGTGTGAGTGAGTGTGTGAGTGAGGGTGTGAGTGAGTGTGTGTGTGTGTTGTGTGTGTGTTGCGTGTGTGTGTGTGTCGGTTGTGTGTTGGTTGTGTGTTGGTAGTGTGTGTGTGTTGGTTGGTTGTGTGTTGGTTGTGTGTTGGTTGTGTGTTGGTTGTGTGTCGGTTGTGTGTCGGTTGTGTGTGTGTTGGTTGTGTGTTGGTTGTGTGTTGGTTGTGTGTGTTGGTTGTGTGTTGGTTGTGTGTTGGTTGTGTGTTGGTTGTGTGTTGGTTGTGTGTTGGTTGTGTGTTGGTTGTGTGTGTGTGTCTGTGTGTGTCTGTGTGTGTCTGTGTGTATATGTGTCTGTGTCTGTGTCTGTGTCTGTGTCTGTGTGTCTGTGTGTCTGTGTGGCTGTGTGTCTGTGTGTCTGTATGTCTGTGTGTGTGTCTGTGTGTCTGTGTGTCTGTGTGTCAGTGTGTCTGTGTGTCTGTGTGTCTGTGTGTCTGTGTGTCTGTGTGTCTGTGTGTCTGTGTGTCTGTGTGTCTGTGTGTCTGTGTGTCTGTGTGTGTGAGTGTGTGAATGTGTGAGTGTGTGTGTGTGTGTCCTAAGGCCTCTTCAATCTTGGCCACTTGGAACGGTCTGGAGATCATCAGGATCCGTTCTGGCCTTGCGAGCAATCTTAGGGGATCCGACGAGGGGCCGCGAGGAGACGCTGGGAGCCCGCCCTCCTTCGAAGGGGGCGTCGACTTCGGGGGAGGAGGATCACTTGGCCTTGCGAGCAATTCTAGGAGATCCGACGAGGGGCCGCGAGGAGACGCTGGGAGCCCGCCCTCCTGCGAAGGGGGCATCGACTTCTGGGGAGGAGGATCAGGGGCAGATGGGGGCAGCGACTCAGCTCGCGCAGTCAGAGCGGGCGCCCAGGAGGAGTCCCCGACGCAGGGCGCCCTCGCAGCCCTCGGCTCTGGGCATCGCTGGCGTGTCTGGGCTTCGCACCCTGCGAATCGGGTGCCATACAGTGGGAGCCCATGCCAAGAGACACCCTGAGATTGTCTCCAGGGCGCCCTGGGTTTATTGGGCTTCGATGGTCTTGCCGTGGAGAGCGCGACGTTCAATCGATGGACGCCCTGGGGTCTCGGGGTTGAGATTATTGTGGAAGGCTTCTTGTGTTCGAGCTCCTACAGTCAACCAGTATAGTAAGGATGTGCAACCTTCCCACTTTCGTTGGCCGCGCCCCGCTCGAAACGCTTCGAAGTGGGCGCCCAAGGCCCTCGCATCCTGATCGCGCATCCTTACTATCCGGGTTGACTGTACTATACATCCTCGTGCCCCATCCTGCTGCCCAGTGCCCGCCGCGCGCCCTCGTGCCCCCGGCAAAGCGAGGGCCGACGCCCGCACCGCGCCGCGGCAGAGCGCGGCGACGGGGTGTCGCCCCCCAGCCCATAGCGGCCTGCTCGGCTGCTCTCGGCTCCTGCGGCTGCCCGGCGGGGCCGGAGCATCGTGGGCGGTAGTTTCAAGTCGGGCCTGCCCCTCTGCAGGAGGAAGATTTCACAGCAGTTAAAAAATGGTCCGGGGACCCTTTTTTGACAATTGTTAACAATTTTTAAAATATGTTTTGACTGCTTTTTCTTTTTCGTCCGAACTCCGCCTGTAGGAGGACAGGCCCGACCTAACTCTTGGCTCTTGCGGCGGCCCAGTGGGGCCAGAGCATCATGGGAGGCAGTCTGCCGAGCGTCTGGCAGGGCGGCCGGGCAGCGCAGCATGAAGAAGAGCCGGAGGTCGATAGGCCTCCTACCCTGACACGTCGATTAGCGAATCGGCCGTTTTCGGGCCGCGAGAGGGCGTCGCGGCCGTCATTTTGCGGGTCCAGGTCCGTCGGTTTCGGTCCTGGGCCGTTGTCATTGGAGGGAGGTTTTTCGTAAAGGGAGCGTTGTCCACCGCCGAGTCCTGGAGGAAGAGGGGGCCCCGGGGTTTTGTCAGCGCACTCTGGCGAGGATCAGGGGCAACGTCGAGAAGGGGATAAGCTCCAGGGAGGTCGCCTCGGCCCCAATCTCGAAAACAAGAAAACGGCATAAACAGAAACTTGTAGCGCTCCGCGTGGATTTCTTGGATCTGCGCTGGGCCCCCCTGGCGGCGCCTCCGGCGCCGCCCCTGGCGAACTCCGCACGCCAGGGAGGGGGGTCCAGCGCAGATTAAAGAAACCCGCGCGCAGCGCCACAAGTTTATGTTTGTGCGGCGTTTTCTTCTACAATCGCCCGTGGATCGCCGGTGGGGGCCCGATACAGCCCACCCCGCCCAGGACCCGTTGCGGTTTTGCAATCGGTGCCCCACCGCCGATCTGTCCGCGATGTGTGTCGCCGATGCCGGCTCGATGCTTCTCCCCCCCTGGGCCGGAGCCCCCACGAATGTTTCCCCTCGGGAGCCTTGAGACGGGGATCAATGCGAACGGGGGTCAGCCAGGGCGCTGGATGTTGCAGGGTCCTGCAGAGGCAGGGCCGCGTTGAGCCGGGTTCGGGTGCAGAATTCTGCAGGATCTTGCAGGATCCTTCGCAGTGGCCTGGGCCTGGGTGCAGGCTCTTGCAGGGTCCTGCAAGGCTTAAGTCGGGCGTGTCCCTCTACAATATTTAGAAATAATGAACATCATCTGGGGACTATTTTTTGAGCATTTTTGGGCCATCTGGGGGTATTTTTTTTTGCCTGTTTTTTAGTTTTCGGACGTGTGGGCAGGCAGGGGGCGGGGCGCGGCCGCGGAGGGGCAGAGGTGATGGGCTTGTCTTCCACCACCAGCGCCAGAAGTAGGAGGGGGAGGGGGTCCTCCTCCTCCTCCTCCTCCTCCTCCTCCTCCTCCTCCTCCTCCTTCTCCTCCTCCTCCTTCTCCTCCTCCTCCTCCTTCTCTTCCTCCTCCTCCTCCCCCACCTCCACCAGAAGTAGGGCGAGGACGCCCCCGAGGGCGCGAAGTTGTTCGCGCTTCGCGATTCGGCTCCGATTCCTCCTCGCTCTCCCCTTCTACCCTGGGAGGCGGCGCGAGAGCGCGAAGTTATTCGCACTTCGCGCTGCGCGTAGCGCGAAGCGCGAACTTGGGAGCCCTTGCAGAGGGAGTCGGGGGTCGGGCGATCCAACGTGGTTCAGGAAGTCGCCGATTCCCGTCGCCGAACGAGGCGGCACCGGTCGCATTTTGGGAACGGCACCTCCCGGGTATAGCCAGAACCCCAGTTAAGGGGACCCGGTTAGTAGTAGGGCCCCGGAGCCCCTAAATGGACCAGAATCACTGAACCAGGTCTGCCGTAGCCAGTGTTTTTCGGGTGACGGCAGTTCCGGTTGGTGGAGCGGGGTGGGGGGGCGTCCCCCAGTACACATCATTAAACCAGGTCCCACTGAACCCAGTTCTGCCAACGCCCGAACTATGCTCGCACGCATTGCTTCAGGGGAAAATCTCAAAATGCCGCGGTCGGGGAGTGAGGGGTTCCCGTGGCAGGAGCGGCTCCCGTGGCAGGAGCGGCACCCGTGGCAGGAGCTGCAGGGCCGGACCGGATGCGCTGGCACTCCCGGCTGAGCTTGCTGGCCCTCTCGCCAGTCTGGCGCTGGATCTCCTGGCCCTCTCGTCAATCTGGGGCGTCCCCCAGTACACATCACTAAACCAGGTCCCACGAAACCCAGTTCTGCCAGCGCCCGCACCGCCTCCGATGCATGGACCTGGCGGCCGCTCTTCCCTGTGTGCGCGCCCCCGGATGCCCAGCGGTTGCCTGCCCCGTTTGTCTGAGAGGCTCCCCCCGAGTTCCGCGCCACAGAAGAGACAAGGAAGCGTAGGAGAGTATGGGCGCTTGGCTGAAGTCGGGCACGTCCCTCTACAGGAAGAATACAGTGGGTGCGTGCATCAAGAAACCAGATGCTTTTCGTCAGGGTATCCTGGGTTTCTTCGCTCCTCGCGCTGCGCGGTGACTTCCCGCAGCCGTTGAAGGAGCTAATGCGTTCAGGGTGCTCCGGGTTTCGCCTCAGATGTATCTCGCGCGCGGGTTGTCAGGGTTGGGTTTCTTGCGAGGGTTTCTTGCGGCCGCGCCCGCACTGTATTCAAAAGTAGTCAGAATGTAGTCTGGAGACGATGTTTGGAATATTTTCGCATGTTTGAATTATCTGTTTAGTACTTTTAGCGCTTCGCCCAAAATCCCCCTGTAGGGGGACAGGCCCGACCTAACGCTTGGCGCATGACCTCCAGCCCATCCAGAAACCTCAGAAACGAGCCCCGTGCGACAGCGGAGACTGCGAAAGGAGTCGGCCATAAAAGCCTCGGCTGATCTTTCGCTCAGGGCCTCCTGAAGCCATCTCGGTGCCCAACTTGGGAGCCTTTGAGGCTCTCCTGGGACCCTCGCGCAGGCCTTTGGGATCGTCGTGGGGCCGTCTTGGAGGGCATCGATCAACGAAGGAGGGTACTAAACTTGGGTTGCCCTTGGGGCCGAAACACCGCCTCTTTGGGCCCCCTTGGCGCTCTTGAGCTCTCTTTGAGCCATCTTGAGACCTCAGAAGCCCACTGGAAGCGAAAGGGCGAGAAGGCACCTACTACTGGTTCCCATTGCGTGTTGGAAGGATATTCACCTCTGGCGCACATCCGTGGGAGGCTCCACGGCCACTTGGAGCCGTCTTCAGGCATTCGGGGGCCTCTTGTAGGCATCGTGGAGGCCAGCTTGAGACATTCTGAGCTGCCTTGTGTTATACTGGAGGTCATCTTGGGCTTCAGTCTTGGAGCTGGATTGGGCCATCCTGGACGCTCTAACAGACCCAGGGCGAGGGGGCAGCAGGGGGGCAATCACCTCCCCGAAGAGGAAGAACGGTGTTGGAAGAGGGAACGCGCGAGACCACCTCAGCCCAAAAGGCTGGTGGGATTTGGGTCGTATACCAACCGACACGTTTGAGAGTAAGCGGAAGGCGTCTCGCTCGAGTGTTGCATGCATGGATTGCGCCATCGGGTTTGGGGCATGCAGCGCGTGTAAATTGCAATTGATTGCAGACCGAAGCAACACCACTCGCCCCTTTCGGGTCGGGTGCGACGGCGGCTTGCCCACCCAATCCTTTCTTTTAGAGGGAGTCGAAGGTATCGTGGGTGGGTTTTGACCCGTCGGCGTTGCCGCATGGCCAAAGTGGAAGCGATCGCCACCCCGACCCACCTGAGGGGCAGAATGGAGATCTTCCTCGTGCCTCCTCCACAGTGTGGCCGCTGTCTGGACTAGCGAAGCGCTTCGCTGCCAGGTTCTCCATGAAATTCAGCGACCCCACCGAGTCCAAGATATCCAACAGTCCATCTGTGAGCCCAAGACCAAGAGATAGGCGCCGGGGTAGTCTGAGGTGAAGGGACAGGTTCGATGAAATGGCAGGCTGTACGATCTGGCAGAGCGATCAAGGTTGTATGTTCATCGACGGCCGTCACTGTTACGCTCGCTGCTGCAACCGCTGCCGTTGCCATCACCGCCGTCGTCGTCGTCGTCGCCGAGATCGTTAGTGTCGTCACTATCGTCGGTTTGCCATGTCATGTATGATCCAACTCACGAACGCATTCATTATCAGCAATATTGATGGTGCTGGCATCTTTTTGCGTAATCGGAGCATCCTTATACAGTGGACACACTCTGCAGTGTCGCGTTGTTGTTGAGTCCGGTTGCGAGCATCGGGAGTTTTCCTCTGTAGCAGTGGTGGCGCCAGGTGTCCCATGCATGCGTTCACCATAATGGAAACTATTCGGGTATAGCCAGGACCCCGGGTAAGGGGACCCGGTTAGTAGTAGTGCCCTGGGGCCCCTCGATTGGCCAAGGCCAAATTCACTAAACCAGGTTTGCCGTAACTGGTGTTTTTCGGGTGACGGCAGTTCCGGTTAGCGGAACGGGGCGGGGGGGCGCCCCCGGGTACACGTCACTAAACCAGGTTCCACTAAACCCAGTTCTGCCAACGCCCGAACTATGTTCGCACGCATTGCTTCAGGGGAAAATCTCAAAATGCCGCGGTCGGGGAGTGAGGGGTTCAATAGCATGTGGGGGCCTGACCTCGGGTTGACGCAGTCATGGCGCCTGGCGTCACGGTGACACGGTCACCACGATATCTCTTTGAGGCTTCGGTTAGGAGGCTGTCATGCAAGTGGTCGCGAGACGCGCCAGCGCCCGCCCGTCACTTGTCTCGGGCCGGAAGAAAGGGGGGGATTGGGAAAGGAGGGGTTACGAAATTTGCTGCATACAGCCGGTTTCGGCCCCACCGAGGGGCCCATTCCTCGAGACATAGCCGCTTCCAGCGCCGGGAGGCGCCGGGAAAATCAGCTACGTGAGCTGATTCTCAACCCCCCCCTTTGCTATCCCCCCCTTTCGCCCGACCCGATCGTCTTTCCCCGTCCCCGTCTCCCTGCGCATGTGGCCAGGCCGAAGGCCAGGGAAGGACTTCTCATGCGCAGACGCCGAGGGCGCATTCCATGGCTGCCCATCCCTGCGCTCGCCCTTTTGCCCTTCCTGCCTCCGGGGAGCCAACTCGCTCGCGCTCGACACGATGCTGGTCGAACCTCCTGCCCGCGAGGTGTCGTGGAGGTGCCAGGTGTTCAGCGGTTTTCATGTCCTTGCTTCGTTTCCCCCGCGCCGCACGCCCGGCTGATCCTCCTCCCCCATGCTCCCCCTTCGTGCCGTGGTTGTTGCTACGCTGCCTGCCGCAGGCTGCCGCTCTGCCGTTGATGGTGCAGCCGCTGCCGGACGCTGCTGCTGCGGCTGCTGCGGCTGTTGCCGTGGCTGCGCTGGCAGCCGCTGTAGGCACTGCGGCTGCGCTGCTGGGTTCCGCTGCCGCTGCTGCCCACGCTGCCGCATGTCCGTTTCGGGGCACCTCTAACAGGGGCTGCACCTCATATGCAGTTTCAACGATGGCCCCGGAGCTCGCGTCTTGTCGCCCCGCCCACTTCGGCACACACACACACACACACACACGCGTACACATTACAGTGATCGTGCCCTCGAGCCAAAGGGGCTCCATCCATTGCCCCAGTGGCCCCGCTCATTTCGGCACAGCCCGTCAGACAGGCAGGATCAGATTTCTTTGCACCGTAAATCACGGCGGCCGCATTCTCGGGGTACGTACATCTATGTATATGGAGGTTGGGAGGCGGACATGTTTGTGCTGGTCTTCGCATTTGCACCACCGTCTGTGTCAGGACTTGGATGTGACCCCGTCCGGACCGCCCTGCCCCTCGCAGGGGTGGCCTGATGGCACGCCCGTCGGGAGGGATGGGGGGAGGAAAGGGAAGGGTGGGAGACGGGCGGGGACGAGGGAGGACGAGGAGGGGGGTAGGGACAGGAAGGGTGGGGAAAAGGAGGGAGAACCCTGACATCCTCTGGTTGCACACGAAAAAAACAACGGAAGGCCGTTGCTCCTTTTCAATCTCCGGGGCCTTCAGTGGCAGGACCATCAACAATTCATGCAGGACGAAAAACCAGTCCCGGGGAGGGGTCCAGAACCCCAGGGCGCCTTGTTGGGAAATGAGCGCGGCGAAGGACCCAACCACACGCGGATGCGAGGGACTCAGTTGTGAGAGTCGTTCTCGATGGCGCTCCCTACAGGGCCTCGAAACGTGTGAGGGATGTGCCGAAATGGGGCGGGGGGGGCGCATGTGGACTCTGCCACTGGGGCCTTCGGTGGAGCTCCCTATGGAGGCACGAAACGTGTGATGGGTCTGCCGAACCGGGGGCGGGGGGGCGCATGTGGACCCTGCCACTGGGACCTTCGGCGGAGCGCCCTAGGGGTCCCGGAAAGTGTGAGGGGTGTGCCGAATCGGGGCAGGGGGACGCATGTGGACCCTGCCACTGGGGCCTTCGGCGGAGCTCCCTAGGGGTCCTGGAAAGTATGAGGGGTGTGCCGAACCGGGGCAGGGGGACGCATGTGGACCCTGCCACTGGGGCCTTCGGTGGAGCTCCCTATATGGCCACGGAAAGTACGAGGGGTGTGCCGACATGTTGCGGGGGGACGCATGTGGACCGTTTCTCTGGGTCCTTTGGTGGAGCTCCCTATACGGCCGCGGAACGTGTGAGGGGTGTGCCGACATGGGGGCGCATGTGGACTCGTCCACCGAGGCGGTGGAGCTCCTTTTGGGGCCACGAAGCGTGTGAGGGGTGTGCTGGAATGGGGCGGGGGGGGCGCATTTGGATTGTGCCATTGGGGCCATCGGTGGAGCTCCCTATGGGGCCACGAAACGTGTGATGGGCGTGCGGAAAGCGGGGGGACGCATGTGGATAGTGCCATTGGGGCTTTCGGTGGAGCTCCCTATGTGGGCACGAAACGAGTGAGGGGTGTGCCGACATGGGGCGGGAGGACGCGTGTGGATTGTGCCACTGGGGCCTTCGGTGGAGCTCCCTATGGGGGTGCGAAACGAGTGAGGGGTGTGCCGAAGTTGGGCGGTGTGACACATGTTGACTATGCCTCTGAGGCCTTCGATGTGGCTCCTTCAGTCAACCCGCATAGTAGGGATGATCAACTTTCCAAGATTACCCTTTCATCCTTCCCCTCGGTCCATCCTTGGCCGCTTTTGCTGGCCGTGCCCCGCTCACAAATTGTCGGCATTGCCTTCTAAGGCCTTTTCATCCTTGTCGTGCGTCCTTACTTTACAGGTTGACTGCATGTGGCACGAAACGTGTGACGGGTGTGCCGAAATGGGGCTGTGGGACACATGTGGGCTGTGCTTATGGAGCCTTGTATGGAGCTCCCTATGGAGACACGAAGCGTGTGAGTGGTGTGCCGAAACGAATGACATGCGGAGGGCAAATTCAGGGATGGAAGGACGATGACGATCACGATGACGATGGCGATGACGGTGACGATGACGATGGTGATGAGAACGATGATGATGTTGTTGATGATGATGGCGATGATGGCGATGATGGTGGTGATGGTGTTGGTGACGATGCCGATGATGATGATGATGATGATGATGCTGATGATGATGATGATGATGATGATTATGATGATGATGATGATGATGATGAGGACTATGATGACGATGGTGATGATGACGGTCCTGCTTATGTTTATGCGTATCATGTTGATGTTGATTGTGATGATGATGTTGATGATGATGACGGTGGTGATGATGATGATGATAATGATGATGACGCTGGCGATGATGGTGGTAATGACGATGCTGACGATGATGATGACGATGATGATGATGATGATGATGATGATGTTGATAATACTGATGAATGTTATGATGCTGATGGTGGTGATGGTGATGATGACGATGCTGACGCTGTTGATGGTGATGGTGGTGATGCTCATGGTGGTAGTGGTGATGGTGGTGGTTGCTATTGTGCTGTCATGTCGATGGTGATGATGCTGATGTTGATGCGGATGATGATGACGATGACCATGGTGATGATGATGCTGATGATGATGATGCTGATGATGATGATGGCGATGATGATGCTGATGAAAATGATGCTGACTATGGGAGTAATGAGGAGGGGGAGGAGGAGGAGAAGGCGCGCGGCGCTGTCCCTTCAGACGCGGGCCCAACCCGACAGGAGGGTTGGGACACAAAGAGACGTAATGCCTGGTAGGGAGGAGGAGGAGGAGGAGGAGGAGGAGGAGGAGGAGGAGCGATCGCCCCGCAGGGAGCCGACGGAGAGCCCCGTGAGCACGAGGCAGCCGACCCTCTCGCCAAGAGCCCCAAGTCCACCAGCAAGGGCTATCTCGCTAGGTGACTCCTGGTCCTTCTTGGATGCGAGGACATCCGTGGTGAGGGGGGGGCCAGGGGTAAGAGACGCAAAGAAGCGGTGAGGGAGACTGGGCGAGGCGGAGGAGTGAGGGAGAACAGAGGGAGTGAGGGAGGGGTGCTTCGAGGATCCTGTGCTTGCCCGTTGCCACCCACGGGTAGGAATATTGAGCGCTTCAGCTTCGGAAAGCATGATGTGTGCGTGTGTGGGTGTGCGTCGCGCGAGATCGTCGGCAGATGCCGGTATGGCATATATATACACACATGTGTGTGTGTGTTTTTGTTGGGGGGAGTTGTCTGATCCATGTCGTTGCAGGTGCTTTGCTTGTCGAGCCGTTCCGCCGCTCTTCCATTAGCTGTTGGCCCCCCTTCCCAGTAGTTCCGATTCGAAGCTGTTCGGGAAACATGCAATCAAATTTCGGGCGTGGTCTCGGGACGGACTGGTCGTCCGCATGTTGTTTGAGCCAGAGGTCGTCGACATAGATCGCCGAGTCTTGTCCCGAGTGTCTGTGCTCAGTCGTTGACTTGGTCATCACACAAGTGAAGGCCGCCGCTTTGTGGTCTTGATCACAACCCTGCTGTTCTCTCGCCTTGGCGGCCAGTGCAACCATTCCAGGCACGGGAGTGATGATGATTCGATCGCGGGTTTGCAGATCTTCAAAAAAGGAGCGACGCTCTCCATGGGGGTTGCTTGGACCGTCTTAGGGCTTATCTTGGACTATGCGGCTATTGCGGGGCCCCCTCGGGTCCGTCTTGAGCCTTTCTTGGCCGTCTGAGGAATATCTTTGGGCTGTCCTTGGGGGCATCTAGGGGCCCTCTTGGGCTGTCCTTGGCGCATCCTGGACCGTCTTGAGGCTCTCCTTGGTCTGTCTTGCGCCGCCTCGGGGAGTACTGCTGGGCGGCAGCGGTGCTGGATGACCAACTCTGCGTCAGCGCGCTCCTGGTATGCGCGGAGGTTGGAAACGTATGGGCGGTGCCGCCAGTGGGCTCGTCAGCATCGCCAGGTGTTGTCCGACGCGGATGGGTTGGACGAGGCACGCGTTCTCTGCACGCAGTCCAAGAGGGAATCACCAGCGTCGACGCAGCTGCAACGTGCGAGAACGAGGCAGACCCAGGAACCGAGGTCTGCTTGTGAGCGGCGCGAGGTATTCTGTTGTTGACGCGGCCCGGCAGCCTGTCGCCCGCGGACCCTTCAGTAAGGAAACAAACACACAGACACAATGAATCGTCGATTCCCAAGAAAGATATGCGAAAATCTGGGAAATGGGGGGGAGACGAAGGTCAACAAAATATGGAAAAATACGGGGAATCCTGGGATGTGTGTGTATTCATGTGTGTGTGTCCCTGGGCCCCTTCAGCCACCCGTCGACGGCCCGGGCCAGCGCTGTCCTGGCGGCCAGGCGCCTGGGCGAGGCGCTCCTTGCAGTCGAAACCCAGGATGAGGATGGGTGACGTTCCCAGGGGGACCCTTGGCATTTTAGGCCTCCCAGAGGGCCGCGCAGCACCGCCGATGCATCGGCGATGCGACTCGATGTGGAGCCCGATTCGCTTCACGTCGACGTCGCCGATTTATCGACGACGTCGGCGATGCATCGCCGAAGCCAAAGCCGAAGAGCCTCACGCGTGAACTTCACCCCAGGGTCCTGGCCAGGGGCCTTGAGGTCGAGGAGAGTTCTAAGGCACCTGCCTTTGGCCTTAGCTCCAAGAGAAGCCCCGAGGCGACGACGAACTTGTTGCCGACAAACTCCGAAAGCTCCGTAAACTGGATGCCCATAAGAGCCTGCAGCTCGGGATCCCGCCCGCTTAAGACACCCCGTCACAAGATGATGCTTCGAAGCACGCGCGAACGTAATGATCTTACTGTCATGCCGTGGACCTTGGCCATTCTCTGTAGCGGAGGTTGCGAGCGGGCCGCCCGTGACAAAGATCAACGCCAGTGTATGGGGTTTTCCGAATTGCAGAGACTGATTAGCCTACGCGATCCAGTTGCTGCGAAACATACCACCCATCGGCAGGATGCGAACACATCAACACGCCCCTGGGAGAGGCCTTGAGGCCAACCTTCTTCAATTGACTGCATGTGTCCCGAAGGACGTTACATAGCTGCGCTCTGAGCACACGTCGAGACCCAAGGACCCTACGCGATAAGTCATCGATCCGGTTCTCATAGACATCCTGGCACGTGTGGTAGCAAGACGAGACACATGAAAATACAGCATACATCAAGCGAAGTGGGTGCCTCTTCGGAGTCCTTGCATTATACTCTGGTTTGGTTGAAAGGCTAAAGAAAGAAAAAGCAGCCGTCTTGGGCAAGGGTCCTCGGTCACATGCAGGTCTGAAGGTCCAGGTCCAAACTTGTGAGTGGGACGTTCAACCGCAACGCAGTACGGACCAGGACCAGCCAGGACATCGAGTCATAGAGCCCTTCGACGTCGAGGAAGAAGCCAATGCCCGTTATCTATGTTGAGTTTGAATTATGTTTCGTCATGAAGCCATCGAAGAACAGCTTCGCGGAATGCATCGTTGCCATGGACGGTTGCGTCCCAAGTTGGTTCTGTCGACGAGGCCCAGGAGCGAACATCTTCATCATGAGCTAATGACCTAACTGGTAAGCATGGTCAGTAGCCCGATCACCCTGTCGACCCCAGACTTCTTCGCCAGAAGCCGACCCAGAACTAGCAGTACTTGCCATGGCCACGTCCTCTGCGATTCGCATGCATCTTAAAGGGACGTGAGCTGCTCAGTCCCGACGTCGGGGAGCCGCTGGATGTCCACGGGCGACATCTGAGCAATACTTTGGCCAGCTCGGGCCTCCGTGAGCTCGGCAGCCTTGAAGACTCGAGCGGGCGTGAGGGCGGAGAGCTGCTCGCCCTCGCGTCCAGACTGGATCCGCAGGGATCGAGTTCGGAAGGAACTCCAAAGTTCATGCAATGCTTTAGCTGGCAGGTCCAGGACATCCCTGGGGCGAGAAGCAATCCCCCCTTCCGAAGGGCACTCAGAACGAGGGGAAGGGGGCCCGGACAGGGACTGCTGCAGGACGCCCGCGGTAGGGGCGGTGACGATCCAGGATCTGAACTCCTCCAGGGACGCCGGAAGCTCTCCGCGCCTGGCGCGGCCTGCAACACGTTTAGCTACTGTTAAGTCGGACCTGTCCTCCCTACGTGGATTCTCGACGAAAAAAAAACAAATCGTCAAAACAACAGTCCAAAAATGGTCTGGGGACTATTTTTTGACTATTGTTTAACCTGTTGGGGGCATTTTTGGGGTATTTTTGATTTTTCGTCGAAAATCCCCCCCGTAGGGGGACACGCCCGACATAAAGCTACTGAAACAAGGTGGGGAGATCTTCTTCGTCGACACCTCGGCGATGCACATGATATAAGTATGCCAGAGAGACCATGCTCCACCTGACGGGTCCAGGCTGGCGAGAGGTACGAGACTGTTTTTGGGGGGTCCGGCGATAACCCGGGTTATCGGACTTGCCCCCCTTCCCCGCTCCCCCAAGGATCCTTCCGCCCCCCCCAAAGGATAACCTAACCTTGCCTGTTGTGCAGGTCCGGGGTGGGGGGGCGCGGGCATATGTAGGGCTACCCACAGCGCGAAGGTTGGGTTATCGGCCGGCCCCCTCCTCCCCCTCTCCCCCCTGGATAGCCGGGTTATCGCCGATTCAGAAGAAAATCGTTCTCTCCAAGTATGCCAGAGAGACCATGCTCCACCTGACGGGTCCAGGCTGGCGAGAGGTAATTGTACATTGACGGGGAGATCGTGGGCAAGAGCCGTGCAAGTTGCCTCGAGATTCCGCAGCTGAAGCTCCCCTCCGGATTTGGTGCTGTGATGGTGCATGTTGTGGTGTGTACGCGACCCCACCAGCACGCAACGATATTGTGGATGGGTTCGTGGCGGACATCATCTAGGACGTACATGGTAGCTTCCTGAAACTCAGGTCCCTGGCCCCTGGAGCGTCCAGATACCTCTGCACCGTGGTGCGATGATATGGTATGTCCCGAAACCGAGACCCACTGCTCACACTGGGCACTGACCCCATAACACGATCTCCTCCGACTGCGAAAGCGACGGAGTCCCGAAGAACAGGCCACACCTCATCGTACCCTCGAACTGGGACGCACCCGACCTCGAACTTGAGGAGGAGGGACGGGAGAGAGAAGTGAGGAGGCAAGGAGGAGAGAGGATGCAGGGAGAAGGAAGGCGGGGGGGGGGGGGGGGCGACATGGCGCGACCCTCGAGGAGGAGGAGGCGGAGGAGGATGAGGCGGAGGAGAGGGAGAGGAATTGGAGGAAGGAGGAATTGGAGGAGGAGGAGGAGGCGGAGGAGGAGAGGAGGAGGAGGAGGAGGAGGAGGAGGAATAGAAGAGAGAGGAGGAGGAGGAGGAGGAACTGGAGGAGGAGGAGGAGGAATTGGAGGAGAAGGAGGAGGAGGAGGAGGAGGAGCAGGAGGAGAAATTGGAGGAGGAGGAGGAGGAGGAGGAGGAGGAGGAGGAGGAGAAAGACGAGGAGAAGGAGGAGGAGGAGGAGGAGGAGGAGGAGGAGGGAGGGGACACAGAGGAGGGCGGCGTGGGTGCGGCCCGCTGCCCCCCGCTGCCCGCAGGAGCCGCTTTGGCGAGTGCGCCGGGAGCGAGGCGGGCGATGACGCCCCTCCTGTCTCCTCGAGCGCGTGCCCCTCCTCGAGCTCGTTCTCCGCCACCCTGCGGCCACTTCGATTCGTGCGGCCACAATCCGGCCAGGCTTCAGAAGACGGAGCGAGACGGGGCGAAGCGAAAGAGGACGAAACGAGAGCGGACGACCTGGAAGTCCACCGGTAGGACGAGGGCGCGGTGGGCTTCAAGAGGGCGCGGGGGCTTCCGAGATGGCGGGCGGCTTCTCGGCAGCCCCCGCGGCTTCTGGAGAGCGGCCTCGGGAGGCACCGAGCCCTTCCAAGAAGGTCGCCCCCCCACTGGACGGGCTTGGAGAGAGAGGGCGAGGCCCCTCACTCTCTCTTGGCCCTGGAGTTCTGCGAACGCGGCCACCGCCCCCCCCTCCGAGGGGGCTGCTGCCCCTGAGGGGGGGTGATCGAACTTGGGCGCCGGGCAGCGGCGTGCTGCGGCACACGGCGGGCCCCGTGGTCGGAGCGGGGGGGACCCAGAGGCGAGGGGGGCGAGGATGAGAGCGGGGCGAGGGGGCGAGGCAGGAGAGGGGAGCGAGGACCAGAGGGGAACAAGATCGTCCCCCTCCGCCTCAAGCCCCTCCTGCTCCTCCTGCTCCTCCTGCTGCTCCTCCTCCTCCTCCTCCTCCTCCTCCTCCTCCTCCTCCTCCTCCTCCTCCTACCTCTCCTCCACCTCCTCCTCCTCCTCCTCCTCTCCCTCCTCCTTCTGCTCCTCCTCCTCCTCCTCCTCCTGCTCCTCCTCCTCCTCCTCCTTCTCTGCATCTGCACCGTCGTCGTCGTGCTCTGCGTCTTCGTGCTCTGCGTGCGTGCCTGCAGCCCACGCTCTCGCCCCAGGGAGGCCCTGCAGGCGGCCGTGGCCCACCGTGGCCATGAAGAGCGCGGTCGCTCCTCGCCCAGCGCACCTCTGGGCAGCATCAACTCGGGCCTGTCCCTCTACAGGGGGAAGATTCAAAAATAGTAAAAAAATAGTCTGGGAACGTTTTTTTTACTATTTCTGCCCATTGGGGGGGGGGGGGGCATTTTTGGGGTATTTCTCATTTTCCGTTCAAAACCCCCCGTGGGGGGACACGCGATGGGCTGCACTTGTGCAGTGCACGCCAGCGGGTTTCCGCGCTGCTGCGTTACCCCTTCCTACCCTCGGGAGCTGCGTGCAGCGCAGCGGCGGCGTCGCCGCGCTGCGCGTATCGGCTTCCTCCGTCCCTCCCCCCCGGCCCGGTCCCCTTTCGCTGCCTTCTTCTCCCTCCCCGTCCTCCTCCTCCTCCTTGGCCTTCGTCCTCCTTCCTCGTCCCCATCTCATGCCATCACAGACGAACTCCCCTGTTGGCGCCCCGCGTCGGTAGGGCGAGGCAGGCATCTCGCCTGAGATGTCCTTTCCGTCTCGGGTCCTGAGCCCCGGCGTATGCAACAGCTTTCAGGCTGGAGGGTGGGCCGTTGTCAAAATGGATCCCTCGCCCCGAACGCCGCGCACATTCGGCGGTTCTGCTTCAACGTGTGGCCTTCGCTGAGGACGTCTTGAAACTTACAGACCAGAGGCGTGAACGTATGAAAATTAATCACAGGTACAGTGCTGCTCATTTTCAAAATTCGGCGTTCGATTCACATGGTATCCAGTGGCGCTGCCGCGCGATGCCGCCACCGCGCTCGGGCTTGACCGTCCCTCCCAAAACCTCGTTTGGTGGACAAAAAAACTCAGGGATTCGGTTTATGATGTTCCAACCGATTTCAGCCTTGATCACCAGAAAGAATTTCGAGCACCAGGGAAGTTCCCAAATTAGAAGCTTTTCGCGCGTCGGGCCCTGGGAGGCGATACTCGTTCGACACTGTTTCGGCATTTTTCTGGGCGCTCGAAAGTCTTTCTGGGATGTGGTCTTTAAGCACGATGGGAGCAACACAAGACTTGGTGGTACAAATGACCGCATCTTGGGCTCGATGTGCTGGAGGGGCCCAACCGTTGTTTCGCAAGGTGCGAGAGGGACCGACACACACACACAAACACACACCACCCACCTACCTACCTACCCACCTCTACCTACCTACCTACTTACCCACCTACCCACCTACCTACCAACCTACCCACCTACCCACCTACCCACCTACCCACCTACCCACCTACCCACCTACCCACCTACCCACCTACCCACCTACCCACCTACCCACCTACCTACCCACCTACCCACCTACCCACCTACCCACCTACCCACCTACCCACCCGCCCACCCCCACCCACCCACCCACCCACCCACCCGCCCACCCGCCCACCCACCCACCTACCTACCGACCTACCTACCTACCGACCTACCGCTGCAAGCGCGGTGGCGGATGTCAACTTCAAGACCAAAAGCCTTTGTTGGCGTCGGGTGGCCCACCAGTTGCCCGCGCTGCGTGAGGTGCTCGAGGGCCGCTGTTGGGCTCTCCTCCTTTCGCCTCCCTTTGTCACACCACGTTCAGCGCCTCAGTAGCCGTAAGGTCGGCGTCTGCCTGTCTCGTGGCAGCCATCTTGACCACTTGCAGCCGAAGCCCATGTCATGTCCCTTGCCATGGGGTGTAACTATTTGCCTCGACAGGTCCACACCGCTGGGACGGCGCTGCAGTGTCACGACCTGGGAGCTTGTTCAGGAGTCCTCCACCTTATGAGGGTCTTGATGTTCCCGCCCCGTCGTCTCCTCTCTCCTCCGCTTCTGCTTCTTCCGCTTCCTCCCTGTCCTCGGGGACAACGATAGGGGGGGATAGGCATAGGGGGGGATGCTTCGACCCCAAATCGCCGATTGGAGCCCGACAGCCCCAATCTGCCAAGGAAGGTGCGGATGCACTACCGGAGGCCTATCGCCGATCTGTCGGCGACGCATCGCCGATTCCGGGTCGGGGCATCCCCCTGTGCCAGTCCCCCCCCCCTATCGTTGCCCCTCCCTTTCCGCCCGTCCCCCCTGTCGATTTTCTCGCCTCGGTCAGTGGCTGCCGGCAGAGGGCATCGGGGTTCTGTTGCCACGGAACTTCGCGTTTCGACGGCCCGTCGTGGTCCAGGTTTTCTCGGGTCGTGGACCCTTGCTCGTGAGCTGCATTCCACAGTTTACCCTGGCGTGCCCTGCGTTCTGCCAGCCCGCTGCATTCGCGCACGCCCGCGCGACGGTTCGTCGCTCGGCTGCCGCTCGTCCCCTCGGTTTTCCTCCGCCGCTCCCCAATCAAGTGCGTTGCAAAACAATGATGGGCCTGTTTTCCACCACCACCATAAGTTGGAGGGGGAGAGGGTCTTCCTCCTCCTCCTCCTCCTCCTCCTTCTCTTCATCCTCATCCTCATCCTCCTCTTTGTCCTCCTCCTCCTCCTTCACCTCCTTCCCCCTCCAAATTATGGTGGTGGTGGTGGAAAACAGGCCCATCAAACAAAGTTCGAAGGCCAGACGCTTGGATGCGCGATACAGCTGCACGGCTGGACGGCGGCTCTTTTTCAAAAGCTGGGGTTCTCGAGACTTCGCGACGCCCTTGGCCACATTGTTCGAGGGTTACACAGTTGGGGGCGCATTTTGCCCAAAGCGGGGCTATTGTTGCACACCTCGATGAAGTGTGTGATCAGAAGTCTGCGCATTATGTGTATCAGCCACCGGTGAAGTGCAAGGCAGCTGGTTCCATTTGAAAACGGGGCTCTCGCCTGAATGACAGACCCATAGGGTGCTGGTCTGTCAACAGGGCGCCTCTTGAATCGGACAGCGACGGACAGCTTGTATGATTTTGTGGGGAGGGGATTTGGAATTGGAGGTTATTCAAGCACCGTTGAGGCATCTTGGGTTTACTCTGGTCTTCTTCCACCTCCTCCTCCCTGGTCCCCCCCCCTCATCCTCATCGTTCGTCCTCCTCCCTGCTCCCCCTCCCTCCTGTTCCCATTACGACTCTGCCGCCTCCTGTTCTCCTCCTATCCTTCTCCTCGTTCTCCCCCTTCCCCATTCCCTTTTTGTGTCTCGCCCTCTACTACCCATCGTCTCCTCCTCTTTCACAATTAATCAACATGTGAATACTATTCTCCTCCCTCCCCCGTGAAGATTGCTGCAGAGTCGCCTGACCCCTCCGCGTAGTGTTGTTTACACAGGGTGCTGCCGAGTTCGTTCCTCTATGTTTTTTGTCCAGTCCGAACGTTCTCGGTCATTCCGAAATGGTATTCCCGCTGCAGTGTGGACCTCATTTTTGAATCGCCATTTTGCGCCCGTCGTTCAGAATGGGGCTCTCGCCTCAGCTCGGGCCACTTTTCTGGAGCCGAGTACTTCCTCATCGATGTCGCCACCCTCCTTTCCCTTCCTCCGGCTTCCCCTGGTCCTCATGTTCTTCAAGCTTCTTCCCGCTGCATCTGGTCGTCATCGTCCTCCCTCCTTCTCCTCCTCCCGTTTCTCCCCCTCCTCCTCCTCTTCCTATGTTCTCCAATTGCGCATAACATGATGGGGTCTTTTGGGGACTTCCAGGTCCGCTATGACACGCGTCCGCGGATAGAGAACGCACCAGCGCAACGGGAAGGGATGGGTGGGAGGGATAGGACGTCAGATATTGCGCGAGCGCGCCTAGCTTGTCCGAGCCCCTCTCCTCCCACCCTTGGGCTCACTGGACCGCCCCACTCGGCCTCACCAAGCCGAGCGGCTTTGTCCCACCCCGCGCTCATCGTCTCCCGACGCACAGGCCGTCCCCGAGCACGTGCGCCAGAAGGCATCCCGCTACGAGGACGCTTTGTGCGCGTACCAGCAGGCGGCCCAAGAGCTCGCGCTCCCCCGCGTCCGCGCGCTTGCTCGCCTGCTTCTCTTCTCGCGAGGGCTGCCTCCTGCCGCAACAGCTCGACCCAAGGCCGCGACGACCCCAGGGCTCGCTTCTTTTCCTTTGTTTGCCATATGAGGTCCCCCCCGTCGAACAAGGTGGACGCCGTTCGAATCACTGGCCCGGACATTGCCCGGGAATCGATCCTGAGCGGATGTGGGGGGCATGCCCTGGCGGCGCTTTCTCTCCCAGGGCGTAGTCAATTCGATGGCGAACTGTCCTGCGAATGTGCCGAGTCCTTTCGTGCATGCGCTGCAAACATTTCAGCTTTGGGCCGCAGTAGGACAAGGCCAGGACGAGGATACGTCCGTTCCGGAGCGTTCCGCAGCGCTCCTCGGAGCGTTCCGGAACGCTCTGAGAAGGCCGCGGCGCCTGGGGCGTCGTCCAGAGCCGCCAGGTCTCAGAGGTGCTCGACTGAGATGCTCGACTCGTCCTCGTGCTGGCCTCGTCTTGCGCAGCCCTCCCCCCCCGAGCCGGGTGTTGCTAGAAGTGCCCCTGACCCAAGGTACCCCCTAGGATCCTCGGGGTGGCCCAGACGGCCTCCGGGGCACCCCTCGCGAGGCCCAGAGGGCCCCAGGGGCTCCAAACTGGAGCGAAACGCTGGGGGCACTTTGGGCCAGGGGCACTTCTTCGGCGGCGAGCGAGGGGGGGAAGTAAGAAGGAGAAGGGCTTCTCAGAAGGCGGTGGGACTTCTTAGAAGCCCTCGCGCCTTCTCAGAAGTTTTTTTGGTCTCCGGGGAAGCCTCAGAAAACTTCTCAGAAGGCCGGGGGACTTCCGAGCCTTCTGAGAAGGCCCGCCCTTTCTCACTTCCCCCCCGCGCTCGCCGCCAACTTCTAGCAACGCCCGACCGAGCGGGCCGCGGCAGCCCCTCGCGCGGGCCGAGGGCCAGGCGCGAGGCCCGACCGAGCCCGCACGCGGGCCACGCCCCGGCCCGTGCGGGCCGAGGCTCGCTGCCCGTGCGGGCCGGCAGCCGTGCGGCCCGTGCAGGGGGCCGCCCGCGAACCCTACCCAGATGGTCTGGTACCGCAAATTTTCGGTAGCGATTTCGACGCACCCCGAATTTCGGTAGCGACCGGATCTTCGTTCGAGGGCGCCGAAATAGCGGAGTTCAGAACGCTCTGATACCGGTATTGGGCGCTACATTTCGGTATTTCGGTAGCGACCGATCTCTGCGGAGCGCTACCGGAAATTTTCGGTAGCGGACCATCAGGGTACCCTACCCTTACGTCGGGCCTGTCCCCCTACGGGGGGATTTTTGACGAAAAGTACAAAAAAAGTACCCCCACAAGACTGAAAAAACAGTCCAAGCCCCCCTGGGCCACGGAACCCTTTCTTTTCGTCGTTCGTCGTGTCGTTCGTCCCCCTCGCCCCCCCCCCCCCTGTCCACGCTTCCCAGGGTAGCCCCCCTGGGCCACGGAACCCTTTATTTTCGTCGTTCGTCGTGTCGTTCGTCCCCCCACCCCCCCCTGTCCACGCTTCCCAGGGTAGCCCCCCTGGGCCACTTTTATTTTCGTGTCGTGTCGTGTCGTGTCGTTCGTCCCCCTGCCCCCCCCCCTCTGCCCCCCCCCGCCCAGGCTTCCCAGGGCAGCCCCCCTGAGCCTCGGACACCTTTGTGCAAGAGCCAGGGCACGCGTGCCACTTGTTTTTCGTCGAAAGTCCCCCTGTAGGGGGACACGCCCGACATAACCCTGCCCCTACCCCCCACCACTTCTGAGGGGGAGGGTGGGGTTCACTTCGCTCGAGAGCTCCCGAGCGGAATGAACCCCACCTTCCCCCTCAGAAGTCGTGGGGGGTAGGGGCAGGGTTCGCATGTGGCCCCCCACACGGGCCGCGGCCCCGCCCAGGCGGGCCGGGGCCGTGCCCGCACGGGCCGGGTGGGCCGGGCGCGCCTCTCATCGCCAAGCGCGTTGCACCATTCGTAAGTCGGGCCTGTCCCTCTGCAGGAGGAATATTCAGAAGTAGTCAAAACATGATCTTGGGACGATGCTTCTCTCTGATTTTTTGACTACTTGGGGATATCTTTGAGTATTCTTGAAATTTTCAAAATCCGCCTGTAGGGGGACATGCCCGACCTAACACTACTCGGACAAGGTGCCTGCGCACAAAACGTCCGAACAGAAAAAAACACGTCTGCACCGGTGCAGGGTATCGTAGATCCACCCTGGCGGGCCCAGGTCATGTGCGAGGAGTTAGCTTTGCGGGTCGTGGAACGCGCGTGTCCATCTCACATCGAGTCGAAACCGACTACACGTGAGAGTGACCCTTCGCCAGCGTGACACTTTGGTGGTCCCCCGATCGCTGAACGCGAAGCGGCAGCAGCGGCTTGCGTGCCTGGGTTTAGTCCCCCGCGGCCCCCAAAACGCCGCGCACCAAAATTCACTCTTGCCCAGGGTCACTCTTGCGTGTAGCCGACGGAAGACTCGGCGGCAAGCGACGGGGGAAAGCGAGAATGAGAAGGCACTCTCAGAAGGCGGCGGGGTTTCTCAGAAGCCCTCTGGCCTTCTTAGAAAGTTCCTGTGTGTCGGGGAAGCCTTAGAGCATTTTTCAGAAGGCCGAGGGACTTCTGAGCCTTCTGAGAGGCCCCGCATTGCCCTCCAGTTCCAGTGGGGGGGGGGGGCGGGGAACATGGCAAAGCTCGCGTGGAACCCGTGCCCCCCCCAACCCGAGATGCGGCTCTTCGGGTGAGGTTGGGGCGGTCTGGTGTTATGTCGGGCGTGTCCCCCTACAGGGGGATCTTCGACGAAAAATAAAAAATGCTCCAAAAAGGTAAAAAGAAACAAAACATTTAAAAAATAGTCCCCAGACTATGTTTGGATCATTGTTTGACCATTTTGGGGGCATTTCTTATTTTTCGTCGAAAATCCCCCTGTATGGGGGACAGGCCCGACTTGAGTCTGGTGGGTGCTCACGGGAGCGCGCCGCAGGGCGAGGCGCCTGGGCAGGGGGCAGAGCGGCGCGGCCCCACGGCCCGGGTGGGCCCTCCGCCGCCCTGTCGCCCCCCTCCCCCGCCGCGCCGCGCCCGCCCGCCGCTGCGGCCGGCGCGGCGCCTCCTGGACTGCGCAGGGGCCGCGGGTTCGTGATGCTCTGGCGTACTCTAGCCTCGATCACCCCGAAATACTTTCGAGCACCAGGAGAGTACCGAAACTGCAGGGTCTTCCCGTCGCTCCGGCCGGCGCGGCGCCTCCTGGACCGCGCAGGGGTCGCGGGTTCGTGATGCTCCAGCCTACTTTAGCCAGCCTCGATCACCCCGAAATACTTTGGAGCACCAGGAGAGTATACCGAACAACTGCAGGGTCTTCACGCGTCGGGCCCTGGGAGGCGAGACTCGTTCCGACGCTGTTTCGATACTCTTCTGGGTGCTCGAAGTTCCTGTTGGAACCAAGTCCTGAAGCACGATGAGAGCCCTGGGAGGCGATACTCCTTCCGACACTGTGTTTCGACACTCTTTTCTGGGTGCTCGAAGTTCTTGTTGGAAGGAAGTCCCGAAGCACGATGAGGGCAACTGAAGTCCCGGCGCCCCTCGCTCGACTCTGCTTCGATACTGTTCCGATGCTTTTCTGGGTGCTCGAAGTTCCTGTCGGCATCAAGTCCTGAAGCACGAGTAGAGCAGGCGCAAGCCGCGGCGCCCTTCGTTCCGTGGCGGCGCCCGGCCGGGCTCGGCCGCGGGGCGGGCGGCCGCCTCGTGCACGACCTCTCCGCCGGCGGCCGCAGGCTTCGCGCCGCCCGGGGGGCTCCCGCTCGCGGCGCCCCCTCGGCGCCGCCGGCTCCGCCTCTGCCGGCGCGGGCGCCCGGCGCTGCAGGCAGTGAAGGCTCACCCTGGGGTTCAGTCGGGCATGTCCTTCTACAGGGGGGACATTCGAGCAGTCAACAAATAGTCTGGGGACTGTTTTTTGAGCATTTGTTGGGCATCTTCTGGGCATTTGTTGGGTGTGTTTTGTTTTTCGTCGAGAATCTCCCCCTGTAGGGGCAGACGCCCGACTTGACCCTGGGATCCTTGTCCTCGCCTCAGGCAGCCACGCGCACGGGGGGGTGGGGGGAGGGGGGAGGGCTTCTTAGATCAAGCAGTGGCGAAGCGTCCTGGCGTGCCTATAGTCCTACCAAACAGTGTTCTAAGAACCTCTTGTGGTTCCCACGATATGTTCTTAGAACAGTTTTGGTTGGGACTGTCTTGTTTTATCACATCGGGATTAGGTTCTGAGAACATTCTCTCTGTTCTCAGAACATGTTTGGGTTCTAAGAGCATTTCGTGGTAGGACTATAGGAATACCGGGACGGTCGGTCCCTGCTCAATTAGAAGCACCCTTGCTTCTTAGAAGGCGCGGGCCTTGTCTATAGATGTGAGGCCGGCGCCTTCTAAGAAGCAGCCTCCTCCTAAGAAGCCCTCCCCCCTCCCTCCTCCTTATGCGCGCCGCCAACTTAGGGCTCCATGCCTCAAGACCCCGTCATGGACCCGCCAGCATTGTTTCTCGGCATCACCGCCGCTGCCGTCTTTCGGGCGCGGTGGGTGCCCGCTTCTGCTCGGCGCTGCCTCCGCGCGCGTCTGCCGTCTGCGGAGCGGCTCCCATCTCCACTGGACACCTTGCGCCCGTGCTGCCAGGCGTACACGTGGCTTGGGCCACGCCACACCTCACTTCCCAGCTGGCTGCCGAGGCAGCAGCGTCCCATCTGCTGCGCTGCTGTCAGGTTTCTCCGCGCCCACGGGTCCTCCCCTTGCGTTCCGACCGCAGCAGTACTGGAACGTCTTGCTGTGGCCCAGGTGTCGCCGTGCTTCCCTAGCCAGCTGTCCATGCCTTTCCTCAAGGGCGCCCTCGAGGGCGCGAAGTTGTTCGCGCTTCGCGGTTCGGCTCCGATTCCTCCTCATCCTCCTCTTCTCCCCTTGGAGGCAGCGCGAGAGCGCGAAGTGAATCGCTTTTCGCGCTTCGCGCAGCGCGAAG